CATCATGTTCTGCTTTTCAAGTTCACCCTTTCTGTCTTTCTGGGCTTTCTTTATTCTATATTATTCAGCTAAGAATCCGTCTGGGTTTTGTTTGGGACAAAGTCAGAAAGCCCATTTGCTTATATTTCTTGGATGCCTAGTGGAACCCTTTACGAGTTTGTGTAGGGCCCAGCAGTCCATATCCACTCCTATTTCATCGCAGCCATTGAAGTAACTGAAAACTTGTTCGGATGGCCAAAGGTCCAACATTTTTCATTAACCGGATCTCTGATCACCTCATAACGAAATTCCTCAAACTACCATCTTGTCCTATATCGCAATTGGCTTTACCAAACTATTCTTTGTTCGGAAAATGATTCTTTAGAACCCCCAAAGGGAAAAAAGGTAATTCTTTTTTGTGTCTCAGAAATGGCGGTTTCAATTCCCATCACCTAATTTATTCATCTGGTAAGCAAAATTTATTTATTTTTTTAGTTTTCTCAATTGAATTATGAATTTAAAAGATGGGTTTTTTCCCTGATGAAGTTATTTTACAAATTCTTGCACGATTGCCCGTGAAGTCGCTTTTTAAAACAAAAACTGTTTGCAAACTTTGGTATAGATTAGCATCAGACAAGTATTTTGTAAGACTCTATAATGAGTTGTCTGCTAAGAACCCCATGGTCCTTGTTGAGATTTATGATTCGACAGAATCGAAATCAAGCTTAATTTGTGTTGATAATTTGAGGGGTGTCTCTGAATTTTCATTGGATTTCTTGAAAGATAGAGTGAAGGTTAGAGCTTCATGTAATGGCTTGTTGTGTTGCTCTAGCATTCCTGATAAGGGTGTTTACTATGTTTGTAACCCTATGACTAGAGAGTTTAAATTGCTTCCTAACAGCAGAGAGAGGCCCGTCACCAGGTTTTATCCTGACGGTGAAGCCACGCTTGTTGGTTTAGCATGCGATTTATCAAGGAATAAGTTTAATGTTGTGTTAGCGGGGTATCATCGTACCTTTGGTCATAGACCTGATGGGACTTTCATATGTTTGATATTTGATTCGGATTCGAATAAGTGGAGGAAGTTTGTTTCGTTCCGAGAAGATCATTTCACCCACATGAACAAGAATCAAGTTGTATTTGTTAATGGTGCCCTTCATTGGTTGACTGGTAGTTGTTCCTATATACTTGCTCTTGATTTGGATTATGAGGTTTGGAGGAAGATTTCATTGCCTGATGCAGTGAGTTATGGTTCTGGGAATAGAGTTTATTTATTGGAGTCCAATGGGCGTTTATCTTTGATTCAGATTTCAGATGCATGGATGAAGATTTGGGTGATGAAAGACTATGAGAGGGAACTGTGGCATATGGTGGATAGTGTGAGTCTTAGATGCATTAGGGGACTAGTGCCTGGCATCTTCCCCATCACTCAAACTGGTGAATATGTTTTTTTGGCAACCCACAAGCAGGTTTTGGTATACCATCAGAGGAGTAGAGTGTGGAAGGAGATGTACTCTGTGAAGAACAGTGCTACCCTCCCACTGTGGTTCTCAGCACATGCATTTTGCAGCACAATCTTCCCTTGTGATTAAGTTGTGGTCAACGTGTAGCGAAACTGTAGTACATAAATAACTTATTGCAGTCATTGTTGTGACTTATAAATTTGTGAATTTCCAAACTCTTTCGTTATCATTTAAAATTCATTGTATTCAATACTTCATATGATCAACTTATTAAGCTGAATATGCCTGTGGTTTTGAAATTTGTGTGCAGTATTCTAACTAATTGGTGTTAGTTGGGACAAATTCATATCATGGATCAGAGCATTGGAAGCATTTTAAGTCCATTTAGGCTGATCATCGCTAGGGTTAATCAAAGCTTGGTTAACAGTAGTAGTCATTGAAATCATACCATCTCAGTTCAACTTCGGACAAGATAAGAATCGCTTCATTCTGTCTTGGGGAAATTGTTATCTTTGTCACCTTTGTTTCCTCATCCAGGTTTCCCTGCCTTGGAAAACCTGTTATAGAATTGTTTAATTGTTGAATTGCTAGAACTTTTTCTTCCCCAGAAAGCAAAAGCAGATCACACATTATTAGTGATTCCTATCTTTTTAGTCATTTTTGAATCATATTTTTAGGGTGGATACAAGGTCAAATGTCGTGCATGCCACTTTTTCCCCTTTATCGTGGAAGCTTGAAAATGAAGAATGGCATAACATTCAAAGCTGAGAAAATGCTTTAGTACACGTTTGGATAATCGGATCGAATGTAATCTGTGGAATTTTCATTGCATGGATGGTTTTGATAAACAGATTCCAGGAGGCAAACATCCCATCTCCTGAATATATTGAACTCATGTATTTGAGCTTTTTTACCATGTTCATAATTAGAAGGACTGAACCTGAAATTAGTTAAAGTGTTTCTCATCAAGTTGAGCATCTCAAAAAGGATTACCAAATAAATCACAGTTCATCTCTGGCTCTTACACTGAAGTTCTTACACCTGCCCCTAGTCCAGAATCTCAATATTAGCAAACCAACCCCAACCCCAACCCCAACCCCAAGCCTCTGCCTTCTTTTCTACGATAACGGTAAAGAAAATTCCTGCCTAGTGATGTATTTTGGGCAACAGCTATAATGTCAATAAATTCAACAGCAATTATCTGTCAAACTTGGACATCGTCAACAGTGGCAAATGATAGTCACCCATTGCCAAATTCATGGTTTTCTTCCAAGAAAAAAATGGTCATATTTTTGGCTAGAAGGTTATCTTTTTATTTCTCTTTTCTTATTTAATTGAACACAATTATGACTGAGTACATGGCTTCAAAATATCCAGGGAAAAGGAATGCCAGAAAAGCTCCCGGATTAATAATGGCAATTTTTTTTCCCTAAAGTACATTAAAGTAATTCAAATTAACATTATTTTTACCATAACCCCGTAAAGCTTTAATCTTTATCTTCATTGTAAATAAAAATTGAATTAAAATTTTTATTTTTAGAATTATTTTTAATATTATCTCAAATTACTAACAAGCATATCAAATTTGTTAATTGTTTGATTAAAGGGAAAGAAAAAACCACTTTCCTTCATAAACATTCCAAAAATGACAAGCTTAACCCGGAATAAGAAATTCGAGGACTGAACTGAACCGAAAGTCAGCAACCAAACAGGCCGCAACAACAACAACCAATCTTGGTCTTAGGATGAGAAGAAACACAACACGAGTTCCGTTTACAGCATCGTGTGTTTGACACTGTCTTTTCTGCACTGCCCCAAAATTCTATCTTTTCCTTTTTGTTGTTTGTTATCTCCAGGAACATACCTTTTAATTTATTAAAAACGTTTCCTTCAATTTAACCCTTTTATTTATTTTTTCTTTTTCCAACTAGTGGGAAAAAGATTAGACAAAACCAAAGTTTAGCTCATAGAGTATTAAGAACAAAAGAATAGCACGCTTTATAGCCTCCCTTTTCTTTGATGCTCATTTACTTCTCATTTTTAGGGCTTTTTTATTATTTTTCCTTATTGGGTATCTGTTAGTTTTGTTCTCCATGGTGGCTGCACTTCACCTGGTTCAAGGTAATTGTCAATATGCCTACCCTTTCTTTCCTCTTAAATGCCAAAGTCTTTGTTTTGGCAGGATTTGACTATCTGGGTATTCTTTCGTTCTTTTTTCAAGTTATATTATCTTCTTGTGGATTATACGGACCCTTTTGTTTTTTCAAAACATTTCTCTCTTGCTGTTATGAAATTTCTGGGTTTTGGTTCCCAAATGGTTTTCTTTGTTCTTCTTCCTTGTCATAGCAGCCAGTTTGACAGAGGCATGTGAATTGTTTATTAATGTTATTGAATTAACCTGTGTTTGGTAATAGTATAGTGATGAAAAGTTGAGTGTTATTACTGGGTAAAGGAGTATTTATGTAACTCATTTCTTTGAAAAATTGGTAGCAGGTTTTGTTTTCTTCCTTGGAATAATTGCCTTCTCATAACTTGATGAATTTTTGTGGAAGCCTGGTTATGAAAATTGTCTGCTAGTTGTCTTTCACCAAACTTTTGTGCAGTATGTGCTAGGGCATGATACGAGGCTATTATACTCTCATAGAGGTTTGTCTTCGGTTGTTCATCAATTGCCAACATCAGACCTCTGTTGCTTCATTTTCTGTTTGGTATCGTGTCACTTGTTCTGCTTGGTGTTGGGTAGCAACATCAAACCTGATGAATACTTTGTGCATGCAACTTTTATTGTATATGTTTTGGCATACCCTGGCATGAGTTTTAATAAGTAAAAATTTTTAGGTTATTTTATCTTGTGTTAAGCATGCTTGAAAATACGTGGGTTAACTGTGTTCATTCCTTGGTGGCAGGTGAAATGATTTTGTTTAGGGGAGGTTTTTTCATGTCAACTATCTTGCGTGGTTCTCTTGATAGACTAGGGATGGATTGAATTGACCTCTTTAAGAAGCTCCAGTAGTACATATAATTTTAATAACTTTATGGCTCGGAAAGGTAATCAGCAGAAGAATGGGAAAAAAAGGGGTTCAGATGCAGGTTTTCCAGTCTCTGATGCAAAAGGGAGAGGAAAGGCAAGTGAGGTAAAGGTTTTTCCTGGAGAGGAACTACCAAATGGTAACCCTTCAGGCACTCCTTTTACAGAGAGCGTCAGTCAAGGTCACCAGGTTGGGACTGAGAATAAATATAGGCAGAATTCTGAGAGATCTGTGACGACAGAAAACCATGGAGATGCTGCAGAGGGTCTTGGCCAATCAATTTCTTCTGGGAGTAGTTCAGGGGATTGCATTGAAAATGCACTTCCAAAGGAAGCTTCAAGTGGAAGGGAACAAAAGAAGATATCACCTGACCAGGACCTTCATCCAAAACACAAAAAAGCAGTTTGGGGCTGCTTTCCAAGTGGTTTTCACCTTAAAGATGCCATGGAGAACGTAGACTTTTCAAATAATGTGGTGGTAAGAAATGTGAGAGCATCAGCTGTATCCACCTTGAAGGTGGTAAACCAGTGGCTGGAGAGGCAGAGGCCATTTTTCATTTCTCTAACAACTAACATTTATAATGCCCGAGATTATGTCAAAGTAAAAATTGAGCACTTATATCCCGTTGTGTTGAAATGGCTCATGCATTTTGGAAATATAATGCTTCTCTTGTCAATAGTCTGGTTGGACTGTACTCTTAGGGGCATTGATTCCTTCCTGCGCATGGGTACAACATCTCTTTTTTCGGTTGTATGGTGCAGTATGTTCTCAGTGATTGCCATGGTCGGGATGTTGAAGTTTCTTATGGTCTTGGTAAGCCCTGGTTGTATCTCATCTTTGTTTTTCCTAAGGTTTCTTTTTCCATGAGATCCTGATGCGTCAATTTCCATGTTGAGAATTTCTTGAAATATCAATTGCATAAATTTATGTATTTCCTTTTGAAAGGATTTATTTGATTTTGTTGAGGAATGACTTGAGCTGTTGGTTGCTTAAATGAGTTATTGATTCTTTTTAGAATTTCATGAGCTATTGACAAATTATGCATTCTTATTACTTGTGTAAATGTTGATTACTCAGGCCATGGCTGCTCTGACAGCAGTTTTTGTCGGGTTTACTCTTGCAATGCTGGTAGTAGCTGTTTTTGGAACTATTTTCCTGTGGTTTTATGGAAGTTTCTGGACAACACTTCTTGTGATCTTCCTTGGAGGTGATCATTTTTCCTTTTCTGATTGGATTAGTTCTATCTGCAAAATTAACTATGTCAAACTTGTGGAATCTAATGTTTGCTATTATTCAGGATTGACATTTTCATTTAGCCATGAGCGTCTTGCGCTATTGATCACCACTATATATTCTGTATATTGTGCTTGGATGTATGCTGGTTGGCTTGGTTTGCTTTTGGCTCTAAATCTCTCATTTATATCAAGTGATGCTTTGATCTACTACCTAAAGAACAACATAAATCAGCAAGCAAGGCCTGATGGAAACCCCGAAGAAACTAATGGAATGCACGGTCAACCAGGCTTCTTTAGTGACGAGTCAGTGCATGCTTCATTCTCTGAAAATGTCCCTGGGTTTTCAGCAGATTGTGGCCCTGGGTTAGCTTCAACTAGTGGGGTTGATACTGAGATAACTTCTGAAGATGAAGTTGCTCGATTGTTGAATTGCACTGATCACTATTCTGCATTGGGTTTGTCACGATATCAGAATGTTGATGTGAATGTACTGAAGCGAGAATATAGGAAAAAGGTATATCCTATGTTTATTTCACATTATTTGTATTATCATACATCAGATTCCACTTGTGATGGTCACTCTGAATATTGGTGAAATGTGATATGATCAATGGGATAAAATCTGAGTGAGTTTCTATGAAAGTTCTTTTGGATCAGTTTACACTGGATATCCGCCATTTGTTATTGTTAACTGAAAACAGGAAAAAGATGTCTATGGTATTGAAATTTTGCAAACTGTTTGCTAGGCAATGCTGGTCCATCCTGATAAGAACATGGGTAATGAAAAGGCTGCAGAAGCTTTTAAAAAACTTCAAAATGCTTATGAGGTAATCTCTTGGTTATCATGTTTCACCCCCCTGGTGGTTTGACATTTCCTTTCTGATAACAGTATTAATTTCTTTTGTAGGTCTTATTGGATTCGTTAAAGCGAAAAGCATACGATGATGAACTTAGGAGGGAGGAGCTGCTAAACTATTTTCGTAGGTTCCAAAATGCTTCTCAAAAGGTTTGAACATACATCCTGCAAGTTTTTACTTGAATATAAAGGAATCGTGTTCAAGTTGCTTATAGAGTTTAGTTTGTATAATCAGCTTTGATTTTCCCCCAGTATCCTCATTTGTGGTCATTCCAGTTATGCATTCCCAGCAGAAAAAAATGTTCTCAAAATAGTTTTTTGATTTTATAGATCACTGAGCTTATAGTTATCTAATTGTACACAATTTCCAACACATTCATTTGGTGCATCTGTTTTTCAGTGTATGACTTTTGGCTGTCTCATTGAACTCTGTCATTTTCTTAGCTGTATCAGAGGGTGTTCAGATTTGTCAGTGAAGTTTTTATTTCTTGCCTGTGTTCATTTGAGTTAACAGTCTTGAAAGGTACTAATGTTGTTGTAAAATGTTTGTTCTGATTATTACCAAGAAATGGCAATCTTAAGCATTACATTTACATCCATCTTCTTAAAGAATGTAGATCATGTTTGCATGGAAAATATCTTTCTAAATTGGATGGAAGTTTTTTACTGGAGGCTCTTAAAATCCTTTTTCTAAGTAGGTATATCAATCTTTGCATCATACTTGGCATTTTCTTGTAATTCATTGCCCAGAATGGTGGACATGGTTTCTTTTCCTCTGGATTTGCACGGTCAGAGGCTGATGGGGAGGAACTGTTTGGAGAATCTAGGCGAATTGCCTGCAAAAAATGCAGTAACTTTCATGTTTGGATACATACCAAGAAATCAAAATCTCAGGCAAGATGGTGCCAGGTATTTCCTTTCCTCATAAATTTTGTAGTGTTTTAACTTGTCCTTTGTTTATGACTTTGACGATTAGCATACCGTCATCAGGCTGAGGGAGCCTGATTTCTGATTTCTATAAAATGGTGTTCCCTTACAAGAAATTAATTTTGTTTTTGGAACTTATCTTGCCTAAGGAATGCAAAGATTTTCATCAAGCAAAAGATGGAGATGGATGGGTTGAACAATCTTCACAGCCCTTCTTTTTTGGGTTATTGCAGAAGGTATGCACTGTCCACCTCTTGTTACATGCTGATATTTTTCTGTTTTGCTATTTCTCTGATCTCATAGATAATTAATTATACAATGCCTAAAAACACAATTAAAAAAAAAAAAAAGAAGAGGTGAGGGGATAACACTACAAAAAAAAAATGACTGCTTTTAAAATATTAACCCTAGTTAGTTAAGGCCAAAAGAAAAGAATAGTTAGTTAAGGGTCAAGGACTGCTTGAGTTGATATTCGTAAGATTTGGTTCTGCATTTTTACATAAAGTTATTTCATTATTGGTGTAGGTGGACGCTCCCTCTGCCTATGTTTGTGCTGATAGCAAGATATATAATGCCACAGAATGGTATATTTGTCAGGTAAAGTGATGTTTACTTAGTATTTATCAAGTTAATCTGCCACCCATCATGTTTGCATTTCTGAGGAGATTTTGAACATCTCTTAATAGAAAGTTTCATTAACGGTGTTATGGGTTAGTGTATATTGATACATGGAAATAAAGTTTGGATACCACATTGAACTTTTTTTTAGTTCAGGTATCACATTAGATATTTTCTAAACTATAGGGGCTAAATGTGACATTATCCCTTAATCTTTTCAAACATCGACATTGGCACCTGATATGATCCATTTCATGCATTTGGTGTCAAGAAATTTATGACTTTCATGTGACACCCCATGTGGACACCCTTGCAATCTGCATCATGTCTAGACACACTTTTACAGTGCCTATGGTTGAGGATAGAACACTCATACGGCTGGAATCTGTTGCAGGGAATGAGATGTCCACCCAACACCCATAAGCCAAGTTTTCATGTGAATACTAGTGTGACATCCAAGCATGGTACCGGCAAGGGATCTAGTTCAGGACAAAGAGGTGGCAGGATACCAACACCTAATCTGGAAGAAACCATGACAGAGGAAGAATTCTTTGAGTGGTTACAGAATGCAGTACAAGCTGGCATGTTTGACAATGTTAGTGGTAGCAGCTCTGCTGAGAGCCCATTTGCCAAAGCGGGAAGCGGCTCCAAGAGTAGTGGTAGCAATATGGGTGGTGGTAGCGGAAACAAGAGAAGGAAAAAAGGAAAGAAACAATGGTGAGCAGTCATAATGATTTGTAAACCCCCAGATTCTCTTGAGAATTCATCAATTTTTGGCCGTACAAAAGTGATTGTCTCACAAAAAACTTAGATCCAGTTGAAGTTATTATCGGGCAAGAATGAGTAGAAAGCCCCTTGAGCATATTTCAGTGCAGATTTTGTATAGCATTTATATCTTCTTCCTATCCTTTTCTTTTTTCCTCAAATAATTAGAAATGGAGCATCATCATACCAATACGAAATAGATTGCAAAGCCTGGAAGGTTAATCTTCGTGGTTATAGCATTACCAAATATTTGCAGTGACCTTGTTTCGATTATTCTTCTTGGCTTTATCCTTGGGAGGTCCAATGAAGCTAAAACTGTACGGAAAAGACAGAGAATTGAATGAAGTATCGAAGGGCAAAACCTTGGGAAACTCTTGGTGCGACGCATTGTTCAACTCTAGAACCAAATACGTTCAAGTTCAATGCAATCAATGTCCACGGATGACGCTAGGAGCGTAATTGAGGAGAAATTTCTTCTTCTTTCTTTGCCCAAAGGCTCGGGGGATGTCAACAATGTACGATGTTCAGGCCAATCTAAGCCCACTGAAGATGCTAATGTCAAGTAGATTCAACCAATTAGTTTGTAGTAGTGGGCAACTAAACACGCAAGAAATGGCCCAACCCAATGTTTTTTATCCATCGATATTAAAGGGAAAGACACATAACTAGCGAACCGTGATGTCGTCCTGTTTCTGCACTCACTCAATTCCTGTAATGGAGTCACTCCTACAGTACCCTGCAAAAGTTGTTGCTCCGAGGCTTCGAAAACTGAAAACTGGAAGTGGGTTCTTCGGAAACCAGAGCTCTTTCTTGAAATTACCGCAAGAGAACTCTTATCTTGGTCGTAGAAAGCGTTTAATTGTGGAGGCAAAGAAGAACAAGAACAAGGACGAAAAGCACGACAGTCACAGTTTCATCCCCAAACCAGATGAGACCACTGGGTTTTTCCCTGAAGCTGTCCTTCTGAAGGAGGTCTCTTTTTCTGCTTGTTCTCTTTTTTCTCCTCCATTCTGCTTTCTCTCTTTGTGTTCTATAAAGGTTATATCTCTGACATAGTAAAGATAGAATTTTTGGCTTAAGAACAGCAAAAGGCCAAGGCTTTTCTTTATGGTGTTTAAAGAACTGCTATCGTTTTTCATGTACTTCTTTTTGTGCTTTATGAGAGAAAATTTTACTGCTTAATTTCACTGAATTTGGGGGATGCTATCGTTTTCCATGTACTTCTTTTTGTGCTTTATGAGAGAAAATTTTATTGCTTAATCTGTTTCACTGAATTTGGGGGATGTGGCTTTTCTACTTGAAATTTTCAGAAGAAAGTTCAGGAAGATGGTAGACTTCTCCCTGAGTTTGCTGATGATGAAGAACGTAAGTCAATTATGGTTACCAAGTTTGTGGAACCCACTTTTGTTTTTCAAATATACAATCATACCCGCAGTGTGCTCATTAAAATTGTTCGTGAATTTGCAGAAGAGTTATATGAATCTCTCAACCTTCAGCTGCAAAGTGCATTGAACGTTGAACGCGGTAAGCCTGCTTCTTGTGTTTACTTTGTAGTTTTTGCTATTTAGAAGGATTAAGTATAAAGAAACTTATCATAAACTTCAAGCTTTTGATTTTGTTTTCCTCAAATATAGTCTCTTTTGATTTGCATGTGAATTTTGAAGTGGGACATTTCTTGGAGAGTTGAATGGTTGGAGGAAACTCATGTTTTGATTAGCCTTTGTTATATCGAAGATGCATTTTGGCCTGATTTCAGCCAAATATGGAGAAGCAAAACATTTTAATCATTGTGTAGAGGACTTGGATTGTTTTTTTGGGGTTGGTAGAGTGTTTACTGATAATGAATGATGATTGATATCTGCTAACTTACTATTTACTTCTCCTTGTTTATGCAGTGCGCCACTATGAGGTTGTTTATTTGATTCATGAGAAGCATGCAGAAGAGGTTGGAAGTGTCAATGAGAAAGTTCAAGGTGACCTTCCCCATCCCATACCCCTTCTTTGAAGAAGCAACATATTCCTTTGGACATATCTGAAACAGATTTACAGAGATGGTATAGATATCATATTGTGCCGCCTTTCAAAAAAAAACAAAAAAAATCTTATTCTGCCATTTCTGAGGAAAGACAGACAGAGTTCATATCTAAGGGGGTGCAATCTAAAAGCAACTGAAGATTTCCATGAATCTGAAAAATTAGATAAAATGGAAAAAAAATGGGTAAAATTGATAGCTTTCATCCTCCAAGATGACCTTTGTGATTGCATATTCTTGTAGAACTTAACCAGAAGAATCTCAAAAAATGAAAAAAGGAATAACTCCTTTCATGAACCTGCTGTAAGTTTCTCTTACCGATGAAATTGTTGCTGCAGATTTCTTGAGGGAGAAGAGAGGCAGGTTATGGAGATTGAATGATTGGGGCCTTCGAAGACTAGCATACAAGATAAGGAAGGCTAAGAATGCCCACTACATCTTGATGAACTTTGAGTTGGAAGCTAGATGGATTAATGAGTTTAAGACCATGTTAGATAAAGATGAAAGAGTCATTCGGCATTTGGTGATAAAAAGAGATGAGGCAATCACTGAGGATTGTCCGCCTCCACCTGAGTGGCACACTCTTCGTGCAGGTGGAGATGATTATGATGAAGAAGAAGATGATGCAGCAGATTACGATGATGTGTATGAAGTCGAAGATGATGAAGACCTCACAGAGGATTGGGATGGAGAGGATGATTTGGATATCTTTGAAGACAATGATGTTGAAGATGGTATCTTTGCTGGAAAAGATGATGACATAGAAGATTTGAATGGTAAATCGGCTAGTGTAGCTAATACAGGTAAACGAAATCATAAAGCTGAGAAACTTGCTAGATAGGTACTTTAGTCTGTACACCTTTTTGTATTTGGGTTTGAGGGCCATTCTTGGAAGGTTTGCATTGTAGCTTTATGAAATTTCATGACTGTTAAGTATGAAATGAAGAAATTATATTGATATTAACATCTTTTCAGAAATAATCATCATTCAGCAATTCCATTTCTGCAAGAGTTCCATGGTTAGCTGTGTCTGTACTCATGCAGGAATCTTATGTATATGTATCATGATGAGAGGCAGCATTCACCACTCCTTATTTAGTGTCCGAGTAATAACACTTCAAAACCTCCCGAATTTATGGCATTTAGGTAGATCCATCCACCATTAATAGCAAAAAAAAAAAAAAAGAGATTAATAAGAATTTAATATGCGGCGTTATCTGTTACTAGATATTTAAGGAATTTTAACAATTTGAATAAACACTAATGCGAACACAATGAAAGAAAAAACCAAGATGGAAATTCATTTCAATAAGAAAATTACAGTAATACGGTAGTCCAATGTCCAAATTAGAATGTAATTTAGGAGGATCCAAGAAAGAACAATTACTCTTCCGGAAAATCTTATCCTGATCCCAAAACCTTTGCTTGTTTTCCATCAAAGGTATATCAAAGGAAAAACCCAAAATTTAGGAGTGACAGATTTTTTTCGAATTTTACTTTTTATATAGAGAAATCATGTATTAATCAATGTATCAAAATATCCTTGTGTAAGAGTGACAGATTTACGAGATAAGTTTTTTCTATTTTCTTTCAAATTTTATTCTGATCATGTGGATTTAATTGTTAATAAAAATAACGTATTTATATAAATTATATATAAAAAGAAGAAAGATTGGATTTTGCTTCTGTCCTTGATCAAGTTTTTATGAAGAAAAAGATCTTTGGATTCCCCCTATGTTTTATGCTCAAGTCTTCAGCCACTGGCCTTTTAATTACATCATAAACCAAACCTTCCAGATCCTCCTCCTGAATCAGTAACTGATAAACATCAATGCCTCCACGTGGCAATTCTAAGGTTTGACCAGGTAGCCTCCATTTGCAACCTGACACAACGCCCTTTTCAGCCTTCAGACTCGTGTTCTATATAAGGGCAATGCCTTCGGGTAGACATGCAAAGTATCAGTAGCAAAAGTACTCAAACACAGCTAAACACCATGGCCTTTTCCTCTGTAGCCATTGCTTTCATTTCTTCCCTGGTCTTCTCCCTCCTTCCTCGTGCATATCCTGCAGAGCTTTTCGTAGATCACAGAAACTTCTCGGTCCCTAAATCGGATGTGAATCTGTTAGAGTTTCCACTGAATCTAGAGTATTTAGAGGCTGAGTTTTTCCTGTATGGTGCTTTGGGCTATGGCCTGGATAAAGTTGATCCGAATTTAACCATGGGAGGTCCATCTCCCATTGGTGCCAAGAAGGCCAATCTTGATGCTTTCACCAGAGATGTAATCCTACAATTTGCTCTCCAAGAAGTCGGCCACTTGAAGTTTGTCTCTTGTCCTGATGACTCTGTTTTAAAAAATTTAGTACATTACTTCTTTCTTTGCGTGACAGGTTCTGATGGGAACTACCTTTCTTGATGCAGGGCAATTAAGAAGACAGTGAAGGGATTTCCGAGACCACAACTTGATTTGAGTGCATCATCGTTTGCAAAACTGATGGATCATGCATTTAAGAAGCCATTGGTGCCCCCTTTCGACCCTTATGCCAACAGCATCAATTACCTGATTGCTTCCTACGTAATTCCTTATGTTGGACTCACTGGATATGTTGGTGCAAACCCAAAACTCCAGGGTCCTGTTTCCAAGAGGGTGAGCCTCCATTTCATCCCCAAGAACACAATTGCTTTTTTCCTTTTGAGTTTGATTCTTACATGTGGTTTTTCTCCAGCTGGTTGCAGGCCTTCTAGGGGTAGAATCTGGCCAAGATGCTGTCATCCGAGGATTGCTATATGAGCGGGCAGTGGAGAAGGTTCATCCATACGAGGTAAGTGTTGCAGAATTCACAAATCGCATTTCACAGCTAAGGAACAGGCTGGGACATGCTGGGTTGAAAGATGAAGGCCTTATAGTTCCCAAAAATTTGGGTGCTGAAGGAAAAATCAATGGCAACGTGCTTGCTGGCGATGAATTTTCGGTTGCATATGACAGGACCCCGGAGGAGATCTTGAGGATTGTTTATGGAAGCGGCAATGAAAGCGTCCCTGGAGGGTTCTATCCCAAGGGAGGCAATGGCCGTATTGCCAGGTCTTATTTACACAGTGCCAATCGCTATACCTGAGTAGCTGCAGTCTGGTTGTTTAAGACTAGTTCGCCATGTTTCTCTTGTTTTAAGAACTACAGCAAATAATTTGTACCACCATAATTTTTTATAATGAAAATAATTTGAATTAGAAAGTTAAGATTCTACTGGCTATCAATCAAAGGCTATTCTACAAATCCATGAACAACTTAAAAACAGCAGGAGCGAATTGTCCCATGAATTGAACAAAGCTTTACTCTCGAAACATACGTTTTGGGTTCCCACTAATCAGTTCAACAGTAGAAGAAACATCAGACTCGAGTCCTTCCAAGGGATTCTAAAAGTTGTCAGAGACAGTTGCAAAGACTGCCATAGAAGAAACATCAAACTCGAGTCCTTCCAGGGGATTTTAACAGCTGTCAGAAACAGTTGCAACGGCTGCTGCTGCTGGATGCAGTTATGTCTTAGCAAAACATCTTTCCAAGACACCAATGTCAATGCCTGGTAAAAATGAATTTTACTCACTCCAGGTTTTCACAAGGTTTCCAGGAACCAGAGCCAGTTCTAGCCATGTGGTGTGCATTGGTCAAAAGTATCGACATAACAGAATAATCGAAAATCAGCAGTTATGTCTTAGCAAACTCTATACAAAGACACACATGTCAATGCCATCGTCTGCTCAAGAAATTACATGCACAGGTGAATTGCCTCTTTTTATAATTTTACGTGTAAAATAAAACTTAATTGATTACAATAACGTGTAAATATTTTTCCATGAAAATGACAGTCCTCCGACAACTATAAACCGCAATGTCTCTTCAACCATCATCAACGACAAATTCTTGCTTTATCCTATCAGCCATTGCCATTGGGAACTTAGTATCGTGTCTCTGAGAGAGTCTTTTGTGATAAATTTGGCTATTCCTTCATTTCAAAAGTCGTACAAGACAATTAAAATCCCATTAGGATTCGTAACTTGGATTGTTATTAGGATAGTTGAGCTCATGAAAAAGCAAAATCATCTCATGTAGTTAAAGCGTTAATTGTTTAGGTGAAGGTTTGAAGAACAAGCCACAAACATAATCTCAGCACACAGTTGCGATGATGGTTTTGAGGAAGACATGTCCAAAAGGTCAAAGAGAGATGTAAGAGAAGTATATCTCACGTTTCTTCCAGATTGGATAGAGAAGTTGAATCTCTTGTTTCTTCCAGATTGCATAGCGATGTTGAATCTCACGTTTCTTCCAGATTGGATAGAGAAGTTGAATCTCTTGTTTCTTCCAGATTGCATAGCGATGTTGAATCTCACGCTTCTTCCAGATTGGACAACGTTTTCTTGCTAAGCCTTGGAAAAAAACATGGTCGGAAAAGCTGCACAAGTCCATTTCTTCCGCAAATATATCTTTACAGGACACAAATGTCAATGCGATCGTCTGGTCAATAAATGAAAAATTACACAATCCAGGGCCTCACAAGGTTTCCAGGAATCAAAGCCAGTTCTTGGTAGACATGACAGAATAATCGAGAATCAAGTGGATGAACAATTTAGGCTGAGAATGATTTTTTAAGATACATGATCAGTGCATTAATAATGATGATGGCTGCTTATCTGCCAGAACCCAGTGGTTCAAAAGGCACATAGTTTACTTTCAGCCTTCTCTGATTAAACATGTAAACCCACAAAGGATTGGCAACATGCACATCTAGTTAGTCAACAGAAGTATCTGTTACATTTGTCATCATTAGTCAGCAACATATCTGCATGGGCCCAAAAAGAATCCTGGCTGAACACACTCTCACCCATTACCTAGAATGTCATCCAAGATGTGAATTGGTCCCAAATGACCTAAGCTGTTAAACAAGCATTGGACTAACACATTCCATGTTGCAACATTGGGACATATCCCTTCCTTTATCATCTTATTAAGGAGACTGATGGCCTCTTCTAAACCAATCCAATTACAGAGGCCCCAAAGAAGACTAGTGTATGAAATTATGTCTGGATGCCAGTCACCTCCAGCACTAATGCGATCAAAAACTCGGACAGCGATCTTCACCTTACCTCGCTTACAGTATGTAAAGATTATTATGTTATATGTGATTGCATCAGGTTTTGTACCTCGAAGCAGCATGTTCCCGATAAGTTGCAGAGCTTCCTCTAGCATACCAGCATGACAAAATCCAGACAAAATGGTATTGTACGTGGCTAAATTCCATTCTATCCCTTTTTCATCAATCTCTCTCACAATCCCAAATACTTGTTCTAGTCGATTTACTTTGATGAGACCGTCCAGTAGCTCATTATATGTAATTATGTTAGGTGCACAAGCATAATGCCCCATTCGATCCAGTACTTTTACTGCCCATTCCACTCTTCCACTACTACATAAACCTTTGATAAATGTGTTGAAAGTAACTGTGTTAGGAGGACAGTTTTCCAACACCATCTTCTCTATAAGAGAATGAGCTTGCTCAAACATGCAATGCCGACAAAGGACATCCACCATGCTGGTGTATGCCACAACGTTGGGATGACAACCATTAGTTATCATTTTGTTCCATGTTTCAGATGCACCAACCAAGTCGCTGGACTTTGCAAATCCATTAATAAGAGAGCTATATGAGGTTACATTTGGAGTGCAGCCATTTTCCTCCATCTGAGAGGAGACAGATACAGCCTCACTCACCTTTCCATTTAAGCAGAGACCATGTATTACAGTGTTATAGACAACCACATTGGCTTCAAGTCCCTCTCTAATCATCTGGTTCCAGAAGTCGAAAGCTTCATGCACCCTTCCTGCCACGAAATACCCCTTTATCAAAGAAGAAAAGGTATAGATATTGGGGCTGCATCCACTCACAAACATCTTGGCCAAAACTGCAAGCGACAACTCAACGTTTCCCACACTCGAAATGCAACTGATAATCATCGAATATGTTCTAACATCAGGGTCTAATCCCTCCACCAGCATTTCATTTAATAAACCAAATGCCTCCTTAAGCTTGTATTCCCCACAAAATCCACTTATCAACGCATTATAAACACTCACATGCGATCTAAATCTCATTGCAAGCTCCCTTGCTTCTTCAACCTTACCAAGCTTACACATTGAAGAAATTATAGTTGTATAGCTCACAGCATCAGGAGCATACCCCACACTCGCCATTTCATTTAGCAACTTGCAAGCCACATCTATCTTATTATTCTTACACAAAGCTTTCAAAAGAATATTGTAAGTAGGCAAATTCGGCTCCAAACCATCTCTCTTTATATTATTATATATCGGATAAATCATCGAGAACCTATTTTCACTAAGCAACGCATCCAACACATGGTTATAAATCTTAACAGTCGGCTCACACCCAAATTCCTTTATCCTATAAAACATTTTCAAAGCTTGTTCACCTAACCCCTTTCGGTGATAAGAATCAATCACAATTACAAACAAGTCCTCGCTGCAGCTAATTCCTTCTAACTTCATCTGATGCAAAAGATATTGAATACCATCTATTTCAGATTCAAGTGAAAGCTTCTGGATCATGCATTGGTATGTTTCTGGGGTGTGTTTAAAGGAATTTGAATTGGCAATGGACTTGAAATAGTTTAAAGCTAAAGACATGTTGGGTTCTTTATTTAATCTGCTAAGTACTTGGGATTCTTCGAGTTGGGTCTGGTTTGGTTCTGTTTGTGATTCTTTGTGGGGTTTTAAAGCTGGGTTTGTGTTCAAAATAAATGGTATTGAACGTTTCTGAACTTTCAACAATAGAGAACGTCCTTCTTTCAAGTACATAATTGATTGCGAACTAGCTCAAAACTTCACTGCCTGAATTCAGGGGAAAGGAAATCAAACGATACAAAGCCAACAATTTGGCTTACCTTTGAACAACGGCTTTGGTTCAGAACAGCAAGAGACTCGGAACTGAAGCAGATGACGACGCTTTTGCAGAGAGCAAGAACTTTTAGGTACTCTTGTCAGTGACAAAACGCTATAACAAGACGCCGTTTTTACCTCTCGAACAGAACCCACTTTGGGTCCTTTTGTAATTTAAGAAAACCGAAAGGGGTAGAAATAGAAATTATTAAAGTTGTAGGGGGTTACATAGAATTAACCGTAACAAATATAATAAAAGTACAAACAAATCGCGGTTTGCTGTCCCGAATCGAATTCTGAGTGGCAGAACATAACGAAAGAAGGGTCTCTCGGATTCTCCGATCTTCTGGGTAAGTCTTTGTTTTCTTTTTCTTTTTCACTTATGTTTGCAAATTTCTGCTTTTATAATCAAAACCCCACTTTTTGAATGATTTCTCGATGATTAGATCTATTACCATCTCTGCAATCCAATTTTCTTTAATGTGAAAGTCTGTTGATGTGCCTTATGTTCTTTCATGTTAATCAATTGAATTTTTGGAAGTTTTTTATAAAATCTGTGCTGTCTTTTGATGAAAGCTCCAAAACTTGAAAGATGCTGCCTTTCTTTTGTTGGGTCATTGGAATGGTAAAGTTTAGGTTTTTCTCCCACCATTCCCATGAACTTGTTCTTATTTAGTTTTTCATGGTAGCTTCTTGAGCAATCTCAGTTGTTGGGATAAAATTACCTGTCATAGTCAAGGGATGGATTGACCCTTAATTCGATAAATTTCAATGAGATCAATGCTTTTGTAAATCTGTTTTCTGCATCTGGTAATGCTGAAGTCATCTTTTAGACTAGCACAATAAGGGCTTTATGATTGTTTCCTTGAGGAGCTTTGCAAGAACTCGTTTAATGATCCTGCTGTTAGAGTAAACCTTCTCTGTTACATTGTGACTTTGAATGCTTGGATTTTATATTGCTATGCTGTTTTAAGTATTCTGCTTGTGCTTCAATCGGCATTTCTCTTTGCGATATGGGTTCTGCTATTGCTCTTTGTTTCTTTAAAGATATGGAATCAAGAGTATCTGCGGTTTGTATGAAATCTATGGATGATTTATTTATCTATATTTTTGTTTCCAGATAATTGTAAACCATATAAAGAAGAAGCTATGGCTGGACATAGTGATTCAAGTTCATCTGAGAAAAAATCAAGTGAAGCTATGAATGATGTACCAACTTATAGCGCAGAGAATTTGCAAAATAACATGAAAGTTATATATTACAGGTTTGTTTTCACTTTCACCGAGATGCTAAATTCTGTGTTGATGCCAATATCTGAGTATTGTTTGCATGTGCAGCCGGACATTTATGTCTATCATCGGAGGGGTTCTTGCTGGAATTTTGGGGTTCACTGGCTTTATGGGGTTTGTCTTATATTTTCTTGTCATGGCAATTACTTCGATTGGACTCATAGCCAAGGCAAAGTTCTCAGTTCATGCATATTTTGATAGCTGGAACCGGATTATACTTGATGGCTTCATGGGTGGGCTTATGGTAAGCTTCTTTATGTTTTGATTCGATATTACATCTTCTAAACTGTCTGCATAAGGTTCCTCTTATCAATATTCTACTTGAGGAATCAAAGTTTTCTGTTTCATCTATTCTTTAATAATTTATCAGCTAACAATTTTCTTATATTTTGCAGTCATTCGTGCTATTCTGGACGTATCCTTTCTTTAAATAGAGAAACTTTTAAGCAGTGATACATATATACTACCTGCTTTATGTCTTGCTTAATTAAGTAATAATGTAACCAAGTATTTATTGCTACTTCCTTGAACATAAATAGATTTGCCTATGACATTGTGCATATATTCTGAAGAAATATCTGCTACATCTCACCCGGAAGAGAAGCTGGCTTGTTGCCCTTGCTGCTGCCTATGACATATTCTTGTTATCCTTGCAATTCGCAAGCTGATTCTTATAGTTTTGTATCAATCCCTAAACCATTACGGGGTTTACCATTTGATTTCCTTTCTATTGCTTTTACCATTTAAAGTATCTATGTAACTTCATTTTAATATAGATAAGAGCCCTGAGAGAATGGAAGAAGGAATTTCGAACTATCAGAATGATCATTCCAAGTTTGGGAATGGATGTCTGAATTTCTATGCATGCTTCCCATTTTGCAACTTGTCCCATAAATTTAATGTGGATACATCCATTGATCTCTGAATTTTACTTGAAGACTAGAGGGTTAGAAAGAACAATTGGTTACGCATATAATTATGGCGAATGCAATAAGATAGGCATGGTAATGAAACATGTTGTAGCTATTACTGTGTCTGTGGAAAACAATGGAGAACAAAAATAACACCTCAATTGGAGGTTTTATATCTACTTGTTGATCTCTCCCTATACAGCTGATGTTCCATATTCTGAGACTCAGCATGACTGACTTCTTTGATATCGATCTCATGATGAATTCAGCAATTACATTACAATTGTGAAGACTGCAGCAGATGGAGTAATACCCTTCCACCGGCACAGTGATGATGCACTAGGCTATGGTGGCTTTTTAGTATTTCTACTTATATAATTTTTCACACCTGCAAATATCGAAATAACAAAGATTATTCAGACAGAGATATTCCAACTTTTAAGAGATTATTCTTGCTATGTGCTATTTGAGTCTTGGTTATAGAATCAATCTAAAGATATAATTCTTACCAACATCTGAGGGATTCTAAGGAGTGCAAAAGATAATGAGTAAAGAATGCTTGAGATTACAACAGCAGTAATCAAGTTGTTGACAAGTCGCTTGTCATCTTTCGTTGGCACGAATGCTGTTTTCAGTATATTTGTCAAGTCAAAGAGCCTGTAAGATATCTGCAAACCAAAAAATAAAAGGTTAGTGCACGAGTAATTTGTGATATTTGAGGTTTCAAGATGACACCATTTACTTACTGCAACGTATATGGAAGTGGTAAGCATGAAATTCAACATTGGGTAATCTGGGATCAGCGAAAGCAGCAGTTTAGGTTGACCATCTGGGACGCCCGATCTGCACGTTGATTGGACATTGCGTTAAGGAAAATAAATTGATGCAGGTGTGTGTGCATGTATATGTATCCTAAGCTATCACTTAAAAGTTTCACATCTTCTCTTTGCAAGCCGCTGAAGCAAGGATTCCAATCTTGTCAACTTAAACTTACCTTAGCCAGATGTGGATCTGCGAGATGTAGGTCTCCAGTGTTATCTTTCCAAGCCATCTGGTAAACAAAAAATGAATATCAGACAAAACTAGTTCTTATTGGTCTCCAAGAAGTAAAAGTACGAAACAAAAGATGGATTAAAGGGCTACTTACGCCAAAAGGGTTAAACTGTAACTTCGGAAGGACTGGGTGACATTTCGTAAACATATATAGACACTGATCAAAACAAGGAACAAGACTTAAGTACTTGCAAAAGTTTAAATATGTCAATATGAACACAAGTAAGATGACACCTACGTTATAGGGATCCATGAGGTATAAGGATGGTACTTGTTGTAAGTGACCTTGTCAAGCTTGTATATGTACTCAAACCAGAAATATCCCATCTACAAAAGTTTCATTAAAAGCACATGAATAAGAAATGGAAATTCAAGGAAACAAGTATACAAGTCTAAAGGTGTATATATATGATACCATCAGCGCTATAGTTGCCACAGCCATTTTTATTGATACCCGCCGCTTCACCTCTGCTTCCTCAAGTTTCTCCATCCACCTTTCAACCTGCAACAGTAGATCCCCAGCATCAAGCCCTTAACTCCAAAAGGAAAATATATTGTGGAAGCAAGACAGCTTGTAAGCCTCATTATTCCTAAATAAATTGCATTAATTCCTAGCAAGAAGATTCAACAAAAAGATGGCCAATAATTGCATCAGAACTTACAGTTGGATGATAGTATGCATATATCATTCCAATAATCCATATGTAACGATCAAGGCCTGAGCGGAAATGCCACTCATGCAAGCGGGGAAAGTTTGGTTTTGCAGGATCAATATAACCTGCAATGTTTTTTTAATTGTTCCCATCAACATGACCCACAATAGTTTAAACAGAAATTATACTTTGGAAAGTTACTTACCAAGGAAAAAGGTAAATGGGCTCCAGAGTATTTCAAACACTCCAGGCACTTCCCAGACTAGAATAACCACCGAGAAGCAGGCAATGAATTTTGCAGCAATGACTGACCCATTCTCATTGTACTTATTCAGAATGCCAAGTGCCCCATAAACCATAAGAGTGAACAGAGTATGCATGGGGCATATATAGTATAACATATAACTATTATTGAGGATGACACAGCAAAAAAACACCAAGAAATTGAGCCGCCACATCATCTGTTCAGCAAGACATACTCACTGTTGGAAGCAAATTAATCATAAGGTTATAATCTTCACTTTAGGGGGAATTCATACCTGTGCAAACCTTGCAAGACTGAAATCTTTGCGCACATAATAATATGAGAAGTTCCCAAATCCAGTCATCCACACATAAGCAGCAATGAAAACTCGGATAGCATTATAAATCTCTGTTGCTGCAAAGTAATGGTACATCAAAAATAAGACCTGTAAAACAGGAGGAAAAGAAAATAGTAAGGCTACCAATCCTGACGTACTAATGCTGAAAACTTGAGGCATAACCAGCATTAGCCAAAAGAGTATTTATGCAATCCAACACACATATTCTATCCTAGTAAACAGACAACAATCATTTGAGAAGAAGATTTTAAGGATTTACTACATCATGGAAAGAATCACAAACCTGCATCCAACCTTTCCACTCCTCAGTTTGATGTCTGTTCAAATAAAGTATAGATTTCCCCGAAAATGGTGACTTATCATGGTGTATCTTGAAAGAAGTTATTGCTGAAACTATGATGAGAAGGAAGTAGAGGAATAAGAAAAGATCCCGATTGTAATTCTGCACAGACAGATGATGAAATGAGAGAACTTAATTGGGAAAGCGATAAGAACGCCATAGACGATAATCGTTACAGTGAATTCGAATTGCATGACTTGCTACATCTTAAAAGAGCAGTAGAGTGTTTAATAGTCCATACTTCAATTAAAATTCATTTTAAATTTTTCACAAGTTCGGCATTTCCCCCTAATATTTAAAATCTATTTAGCCACAACACTATAAGATGGATTTGCACCATGATTTATCATAAGAAAGCAATCATCTTCACCTTTTTTGCAGAATCAAACACATCAGTGCGGTCACAAATGTAAAAATACGCCAAAAGACCACCGAATTCAGATCTATAAGAAGATAAACACAAAAAGAAACGCAAAAAGAGGAGCAAGTTACATTACGTACGATTACTTATTAGGAAGAAATGACTCATTTATCAATCAACAAAATAAAATTTACTTACATAGCTCGAAGTGTCAACCGATTCTCAACCAAGAAAGTCTCATCCATCATAAGAAACCTTCACATAACAAAGCATAAAAAATTAAATAACTCATCAACAAAAATCAAAAGAAATGAAAGAAAAAATCAACAGCTCCGATGACAAACTTGAAAATTGGAGTCAAGGAAGATGATGAAGTCCGAGCTTTAGGAGAAGCTGATTGAAGACCTCCGCCTTCCAATAAAACCGCTCTATCATCTTCTTTTACGGCACCGTTTCCGATCTCAACTAAATTCACATCAGAGTGCCTACTAACAGAAATAGGAAAAAAGCAAAAGAAAAGAAACGATTATTTACAACAAAATTTTCTTTTTCTCATTTTTCACCAATACATTACCTTGATTCTAATCGCATTACAAACGCAAAATGTAGAATTCAGAGCTTACGCTTTGGATGCGAGTGAATTTTTCTTGTACTCCAAATATTCTGCATAGATCCAAGCTGAAATCACCGGAAATATTCCGAGAAAAAACGACACCTGAAAAAGGCAATTCAAACAATATCTTTTTAAATATGTTCAAAATGCAAGATCTGAGAGCAACAAAGAATGCTGAAAGCACGCACCTGACCGGGAGTGATCGGACCGACGATCGCCATTTTCTTTTTTCGGCAACTTCCAACAAAATGACAGCGGAGTTACGCCAAAACGACGCACATTTCAGCGTAACAGTGAGCTTAAAAGAGAAAGAAAAAAAAACAGATCTGATTGAAATCTGGCTTCAGCGACTGAAAGGAAAAAAAAAAAACTGATAAGAGATCGAAGAACACGGAGAGATGGATTTGATTCGAATCTAGCGGTGCGTACCAATTTTCGTTTTTTTTAAAATTTATTTATACGGACAAAATATTTCAAAATAATTAAAACAAATTACGAGTGAAAAGAAAATGCGAAGAAACAGAGTACGAAATGGTTTTAGCGGGTTAGTGGAGAGTTGAGATTTGAGAGACCCGTGTTTTTCTCTTTTTATTTATAAATAAATAAATAAATAAATGTGGTAGCTTATGCTTAAGTTTAAATTAAAATAATTACTATTTTTGCTTAAGTGCGGAGAATGGGGACGGATATTGACGTGTCAACCTCGTGTGGTTAATCTTTCCACTATTTCTTCCTCATTATTATTTAAGGATATTTTTTAAATTTAGTTTAAAAATATTAATAATATTTATATCTTTTAATAATTATTTTTCAATTTTAAATACCAAAAATTGATCAAAATAATCAAATAATTTACTTCTCTTAGACGATTAATATCAAAATAGAAAAATCAACTTAAAAGGATCGAATTTAATTTATTTCGATAGATTATATTGATATGAAATGATTAAATTTATTACTAATTTCACATATAAATTAATCATAATTAATTAAAAAAATTTCAAATTCAACCGTCTCAAAATTTTTAAATCATGCAATTTCATTGAATACTATTAGTTTATTTTTGTTTAACTTTCTAATAAATAAAATTAAAAAATCATAAAATAATGAATTTCACAATTTCCATGAATTATTATTACTTTAAATTAAATTTTTTTTTATTTACTTATGATAATGTTAACCGAAACAGTAATAATAAAAGTGAGTACGACTTCAATATTGTTATCAAAATTAAATGAATTACACGTGTCAACGAATTCTCAATCGCTGAGCTGTCGGCAAAATTTTGAAGGGCCTTTTGTTGATACCACCGACATTAATTGGATGTGAGTGATCCCACTGTTATTTATAGCTGGCGTTGTCTAATCCCCTTGACTCCACATTGCATCACCCTCTGTGGCCCATTTTTACTGTGGGCCTTACCCTTGGCCCATTTGAATCCATACTTATTTTTGGAGCTGAAATTGGGCTCCCTCAACTTTGGATTTTTAAATAATAATAATAATAATAATAAGAAGAAGAAAAAGAAGAAAAAGGAATGGGAAAAAAATTGGAGAGGTGAAAATGATGGTTGGGGTTAATTTTTTATTACTAAATTTGTATAGTTGGATAAGATAAAAATATATTAAAATATTTTTAAATTAGAAAACTTAGCTTTGAAACTAACCATATCCGTTAACATCCATCATTTTCATGTCATCTTTCAAATTTCTTTAAATGATCAATGTGCTCCTAATTTTCTCTCTGTAACTTCAATAACCAAGAAGGATTAAAATAATTATTCAACAATTTGTTTCTATGTTTACTTCATCCTACCAAATTCTTTATATTAATACTCACTCCGTTCTTTCTTCTAAGTCCATCTTTTTTTTATGGCATACGAACATAAATTTTTTAGATATCTAATACTTTTATTTTTTATGTTATAAATTAATATTTTATAATTTTTTGACCTTTTCCATATTTAAAGGTATTGAATATCATAAAATTTATTAAAATCAATTTTCATCTTAATCTTTGTGAAAATAAAAAAGAGACGGAGTAGGGAGTATTATTGTTATTAAAATTGAGCTTGTAATATAAATGAATTTGCCGGTTTGGTTGTTGAATATGAACGCAATAAGCAAATTTAGTTATAATTAATTTGATTATGAAAACGAATTATTCCATGCTTGTACAACCGGCCAAGAAAGAAGAAGAAAATGTTGCATATAAGAATTGGTTTGGGGAACGAATTTGCAATCCATGATTTAATTAATTTAAGACAATAAGTTAGGCAATCAGATGACAAAGACAAAGCAGAAAGGGAAAGTGACAAAGAAAAACCAAAGGGTCTGTAGCTCTATGTTGTCTTGAACTGGTGGAACATGTAGCTCCAACCCGATCCTTACAAAAGCACAAGCACAAACAAGACAGTGCCAAGCCGCTTGTTGCATGAGACAAGTTGTCAATAAACAAAACAGAAAAACCCTTTGTTCAGGTGCTCACAAGGTCACTATATAATTCATCGAATCCAATCATTGCTGCTAGCTTAGAGGTTGGAAACTGCAGATTGTTGTTTTGAGAGCAATGCCGGTAAGACCAAGTAACACGAGGAAGAAATGGTACAAGACTGGAGTAGTGGATGCGGAGGAGGCACGGAGGAGGAGAGAGGACAGTTTGGTGGAGATAAGGAAGAGCAAGAGAGAAGAAAGTCTCCTGAAGAAACGGAGAGATGGGCATTTTTTCCTCGATCAGAATCTGTATCAGCTGCAGTTCAGTGAGCTTCCCACTGCAATTGTAAGAATTGACAGGAAGTTTTTCTTTCTTTTGTTTTTTCTTTTCCTCTCTCTCCCTCTCTCTCTCTGTGTTCTTGAACTGGGCTTCTTTGTCAGATGGGCGTCTGACTGCTGATAGTATAGGCTAAGGTCATGTGATTCAGTGACAAAGAAGCTCATGCATGCATTACATGCTTATCAAAAGTGGAAGGAGAGAAGAATTTTGGGTCTTTTTATGGTTATACACTACCATCTCTCTAAGCAGCATATTCCTGGGTCGGTAGTTTAATCCTTGAGATAGCAGTCCTTTGGGGATATGTAGTCATTTTTCAGACAAGGGTCTCTTGCAATCTGATCGGACTAGCTGACTTTTCCATCTGTGTATGCATGTATGGTTTTGCTTCAGTTACAATGACTTTTTCATGTGTACTTCTAACCCACATTCTTGATGACAGTTGGAAAGCCTTCCTTCGATGGTAGAAGGAGTATTATCTGATAATTCAGCATTGCAATTGGAAGCTACCACTCTATTTCGAAAACTATTATCAATTGGTTTGTTCAATGCTCTTGCTATAAAGATTTGTCTTGATTGTTTCTTTACTTGTATCTTAACTCGGATATATGCCTGCAGAGAGATGCTCTCCCATCGAGCAGGTGATCCAAGCAGGCATTGTTCCTCGATTTGTGGAGTTTCTTGACAATCATGATCAGCCTCAGTTACAGGTGTGTATTAATTAACAAGGTCCACACTTTTTCAAGTTATGCGGAGTTTATTTCACTGAATCATTCGGGCTTGATTTTCCATCTTTAGTTTGAGGCAGCATGGGCATTGACTAATATTGCATCTGGTACATCTGAGCACACCCATGTTGTTATGGAACATGGTGCTGTACCCAAATTTGTGCAACTTCTTGTCTCTCCAAGTACTGATGTTCGAGAGCAGGTCAGTTTCATTTTAGTCTTGATATATACTGTATATCTTTTCTTCTGGTGTTTCACTTCTGACGACTCCTTTGTTGACTCTCCCAGGCTGTTTGGGCATTGGGAAATGTTGCTGGTGATTCACCAAAGTCTAGAGATATTGTTCTTAGTCATGGTGGACTAATTCCATTACTGGCACAGTTAAATGAACATTCTAAACTCTCTCTCCTAAGGAATGCCACCTGGGCTTTATTGAACTTCTGCCGTGGCAAGCCACCAGCACCCTTTGACCAGGTAGGCAGGATCAGGCGAAATGCTAGTTTCAGAACCGTGCTTGTTTCCCTTTTTTTTTTAGTTATACATTTTGGGTGGTCTTCTTCTTGTTTAGGTGAAGCCTGCCTTGCAAACCTTGCAGCGCCTGATTCAATTGAGTGATGAAGAAATCCTGACAGATGCTTGCTGGGCCCTCTCCTATCTTTCGGATGGTACAAATGATAAGATTCAGGCTGTGATCCAGGCAGGCATCTGTCCACGACTGGTGGAGCTTCTTCAGTAAGATGTCTTGTGGTTATATGATGTTTATGTTTCATCTCTCCGGTTTATGCAATTCTCATTCTTTTTTGGGTTTATTATTTCCTACAGTCATCCCTCACAGAATGTGCTTGTCCCTGCACTTCGGACTATAGGGAACATTGTTACCGGTGATGATTCTCAGACTCAGGTATTTATCGAAATGTGAACTGATGGAAATCCCTGCACTTTTGGATTCAACAGGTTTGATCTTGTTATCGGCAGTCAAGAACATAAGTTATCAAAAAGTATTTACAACCTCTTCTGTTTTTGGAGAGTTGTACCAGATAACTGATCAAGACATTAAAAATATTGTTCATATTGTCTGAATCCTGACAGAGATTAACTTATGAAGTATGTTTTTCAGGTTGTAATTGACAACCAAGGTCTCCCTTGTCTCTACGAATTCCTCTCCCAGAACTACAAAAAGAGTATCAAGAAAGAGGCCTGCTGGACAATTTCAAACATCACTGCTGGAAATAGAAGTCAAATACAGGTTACATGCCGAAAGTATTTCTGAATGACTGTGTCCTTGTCAAAATTGGACTACATGTCACTACTCTGAGTACTAACAAAGATTGCTTACTCTTACTTTATCTGCAACAGGCTGTTATTGAAGCAAACATAATTAGTCCTCTTGTTCACCTGCTTCAACATGCTGAATTCGAGATCAAGAAAGAGGCCGCTTGGGCGATTTCTAATGCTTCCTCTGTCGGGTCCCGAGAACAGATTCAGTATCTGCTTTCCCCTCTCGCCTTGTAGATTCAACTGTCCCGCTTGGTTTCCAGTTAACAAAGTTGTTTAACTTCTTGTGTTTTTTGTAACAGATATTTGGTGAAACGAGGTTGTATCAAGCCACTATGTGACCTACTAGTCTGTCCTGACCCCAGGATTTTGACAGTATGCCTCGAAGCTCTAGAGAATATTCTAAAGATCGGTGAGGCTGACAAAGAATCAGGCAACAGTGCGGTCAACATCTATACCGAAATGATTGATGAATGTAATGGATTGGACAAAATCGAGAATCTACAGAGCCATGGCAACAATGAGATCTACAAGAAGGCAGTGACGATTTTAGAGAGGTATTGGTTGGAGGAAGAAGACGACGACGACTCTGGTAACTCAGGTTTTTCTTTCGGAGGTAACCAGTCCAACCCTCCCTTAGGGGGTTTCGACTTTCGTTGAAAACCTTTGCAAAGAAAGTTCTGCCAATGTTGATGAAGTTTGGCAGGTTGGGAAGTAGTTTTGTGTGGGTTTTGTGTAGTCACGACGTTGACACTTTCTTGACATAAAAATTTGTCTCCACGTAATCATCAAAGCTGAAGCCAAAAGCCTTTTGTCTGTGTCTGTTGCATCCTTATTCAGGACATGAACATTGCTGGTTCTTTCACTCTCCCGGGCCCAGACCCCCGGTGAGTGCCATCTGTTCATTGGTTAAAAAGCTTTTAATTTAAAAATCAACACGTACTGAAAATTATTGCCAGAATAGCATTGTGCAGCCATGGCCCACGATGTCCCCCTGCATAATTTCTTTTATTCATTTGTTTGCCAAATTAAGTTTTGACAAGTTCCCTGGTTCTGGCTGGTTCCAGGTTTTTACCATATTCTAGTCTGATCCGACCAACAGGGATTGGGAGTGGGTTTGCAGTTGGCAGTGACCTGTTCAAGGCCCACGAGGCCAGTCGAACCAAGAATCAGATCAGACCACTTTTCAACATAAAGACAGAACCATTCGCTACTAGATTTTTAGATCAATCGATTGAAAATTGCAACAAGACCTATCATCAATCATCAACTCATCATGCAAAAAAATCACATGCCATCCAACAACCATTTCAATAGATCACAAGAATTCTTAAGAAAGAAAATCTGACTAGAAAAACATGCTATCAATTCTAAAAGATGGGGCGGAGGAATTTCTCAGAGTCTACAACTTGAGTCTAGAATCATAAACTTACACAAATTCTAAACCAGCTATTCCCAATAGTTTTCCTTTTTTCAGGAGAACATAACTATGCATTACCAAATTGAACATAAAAAGTCTACTGGTACCGAATCATGATGATACAACTAAAAAATAGAATGCATGACGCATCCCATCATTCTTTCCACAAAGACACAGAGATGGTTTCTTTAAGAGAGAGGAGAGAGAAAGAGATTGACCTATATGGGCATGGTCAGTCCTCAAACCAAGAAGGGGCCAGCCCTATCGCTTGGAGGGTCTCTCATCATCCTCTCCACCATCATCGTCGTCAGAATCATCTCTGTCCGACCTCTTCCTCTTGGGTGGAGCTTCAATCTTTCCACCAGCCTCATCTTCATCATCTTCATCTTCATCCTCTTCCTCAGCGTCCTCCTCACCATTCTCTTCTGGTTCAAAATCGCTAGCATCTTCCTCATCTTCAGCACGACCTACGGGCCGGACAAGGTATTCCGTCCCCATATCCTCCTACAAGGCAGGTAAACACGGTGACAAAAGAAAATTAACAAACCTACTTTCCACGGATTTTCCTAGTTGCCAAACATGGAACAAGATAAAGATGTACAAAAAGTACAGTAGATGAAACATTTTATGAAAGACAGGTGTCACGATTACTACAGAGAGGTATCCACAGAGAAGAGGGGTCAAAGACTACGACAACTGACTGCTAGGAGATTGAACGTACGATTCCTAACATTGAGAGGTGGGAAAAAAAGAACTGCGAAAGGAATCACTATTTCCCTTTGGATAAAATCCCACCGGGACACAGGATTTCTTACGGCCAACTTTAAAAAAAAAGAACAATACAAGATTTAAAGAACAAAACCCAGATGAATTCACTAAAATACTCAAAACTTGCTCAAAAAATTAGTTTGCTTTGTTTTGATAGAAGATCCAAGCAACTGGATTAAATAACTGGGAAACAAGTCACAAAAATGCACAAACAGAAAAATATAAGCCTAGATCTAAAACTTCTTGGACAAAAAGATTGGATTTTGGATCGTGAAATCGGCCATCAGCCGTAGTAGCCAGCTAATCTAAATCAACAGTATATGCTTTCAGATCTGCGAAGTTATGGTGATTAGATAGATGTAATAATTAAAGCAGTTAATGGAATGAAAGCCGCCAGTTATATTCTACGAATAGATCTGAGAGGAAAACTTAAGAAACACCAAATATCCTTCGAGAAACTGTGTAAGTCATGAAACTGAGCTCAAGTTTTAAGGCTCAGCCTCAGATTGGTGAAAGAATCAAACGATTAACAAACCAATGAGGGAGAAAAACACCGGATCTGAAATTTTCAGCTGAAAAATGCTTGAAAAACACAGAATTTTATAAATAATCACGATAATTAATTAACTGGAATTAAGGTAGATTAAGAGAATTTACCTCCCCTTCACCTTCCTCATCGTCATCACTGTCGTCGCCGTCGTCGTCGCCGTCGCCTTCACCGTCGTCGTCGTCGTCTTCATCATCCTCTTCCTCGTCATCATCCTCATCGTCATCCACTGACTGCACCGGAGGACCACCGGAAGAGTGAATAACCTGCACTTCCTCATCATCATCCTCTTCTCCTCCGTCGTCGTCATCGTCGTCATCGTCTTCCCCGTCGTCATCATCATCTTCGTCGTCGTCGTCGTCTTCTTCTTCCTCTTCGCCGCCGTCTACCTCACTTTCGTCCTCACCGTCCGCCTCTTCCTCCTTCGTAACCTTAATTTCCTTTTCCTCGTCATGTTCCCTCTCTTCCTCCATCAACTTCATCTTTAGAAAACTCGACAGAAAATTTCTCTCGTCTTTTTTTCTCAGAAAATAAAAATCAGAATTAAACTCAGAAATTTGGAAGAGAGAGAGCGGGGAGAAGGAGAGAGAGAGGAAGCTTGTTTGCTCTCTCTACCAGTAGCTTCTGCAACTGCGATCTCAGCCGTTGAAACCAGAATTCACGCGGATCGCTGACGTGGAGAGACATCGAACGGTCTAAATGAGAGAATATGTAATTTTTGCGGTGCTTGGATCATTGCGGCGCGCCCTTTCCCTCTTTTCTTCATCACCTGCTTGTCACGTGCGAGGAACTAGTTGGGGAATCTAGGGTTAAGGGTTTTTTTAGTAAATTCCTTTACCATCATAGTTTTATTTTTTTTCACATAATATTTAATTTCGTTCGGTAAAATTATTATAAATATTTTTAATTTAAAAATTAACTTATTTGTTTATGTTAAAATGTATTTTTGATAATTGTATTAAAAAGTTAACGATATAATTTTTCTAGAAACATAATTTATTCATAAAAAATTCATTAAAATACTAAATTTTGTATGAAAATCATAAAAAAATTGTAAGTGGAATTTATCTTTTTTTAAGAGATATGATTGTAATGTTAAGTTGGCCCGTTAACCTTAACATCCATCATTCAAGGGCTATATTTGGTGCATTCTCAATTTGTCATGCTCTAATTCCCCACTTGTATTTTTTAAATTTGAACTCTACTTTTTATTAAAGAAAAATTATGTATTAATTAATGAATTAAATATTTTAATGGATAACCTTTGATTTTGAAAGATAAAGAAGACTAAATAATCAAAATTTTATTCTTTTAAAAAGAGAAAAAATATATATAAATATTTACTCTTTTAGGATGTATTTTTTTAAATAAAGAAAATTAAAATAAATAATTTACTACTATAAATACGATATTTAAAATCTTTCACACTACTTCGGAAATTAAATTTATTGGGCAAAGCAAAATTTAATAGGATTCGATTAAAAATTGATTAAAAATATCATCAACTCATATTTATTAAAGCGATTACTTCCATAAATTCCATTAAAACTACTATAAATAATTTGGTTTGATTATTTCAATTTCGATCTTAAATCGATTAAAAATATTAATTTATTAAGACAGATTTCATTATTCAAATTTGCAAGTTGTGTGACAAATGTTTTTATATTTCAAAGAAAGAAAATCTAGAACTGAACATAAAAACAATGGAAACCCTTCTTTGCATAATTAGATATTTTTTTTAAAGTAATTGTGTACGATATTGTTATATAATGTCGAATTTTTGTTACCAAAATAAAAATTTGATATGTAATTAATTAGTAAACGTAAATATAAATATAAAATTAAAAAATAATTTCTCATCTAAATTTATATGTAATAAATTGACCTTTCGTAAAAAAATTTTAATGAAAGAAAAATCTAATATTCTCACCTTCATAAAATGACCTAATCCATCGATATCAGAACAAAAAGAAGACACGTGGCGGCTGAGTTGGATTAAACATGTGGGCTTAACAAATTTTCCCTCATTAGTTATGAATAAATAGGTTGAGGGAAAAATGTAAATAAATTAATGCCTTTTTTTCCCCACTTGAGCAAAATATCTTTGAGAGTTGAAAACGATCGGGGTTTGGCATTTAGCTTTCAAAGTCTTAACCAAGAAGGCAACTAACAACAAAAATTGGCCAACACGAAAACACCTCACGTTCATAGTGACTAATATAAGCTCCATTAATCCATTTGAATTAAATATGACTCCATTTTATTGATATTTTTACTTTTAACAAAACCAATAATCACGAGAAATTTAAGTTAAGCCTTTGATATTTGGTAATAGACTATAGATGACTTCAATTAAGATAATTAAATGTTTTTAAAATAATTATTTTAACTTCAATAATTTTTTTAATTTTAATTACTCAAAAATTCTCACAATATTTTAACAATAATTTTCAGATTTTGCACCAAAAAAAGGAAAAAAAAAATCAAAAGCATCACCATCATTTTTTTGGATATATAAATTAATTATAATTTTGTTTTTCTAGAATAAGTAATTTTGTTTCTAAGCAAATTAATTTCACGTTTTATGCGTGCTACAACTGCTTAGTGTCTACGTCATTATTTGTCATTTAAAAAATAGAAAAATAAAAATAAAAAAGATAAATATAAATGAAATTAAATTCAAATGCTCAACTAATTCAAGCAGTCGGGTCAATCCCCGCTGGATCACGTGGACTTTTGATAAATCAAGCGGAGTAAATTAAATAAATCAATTTTACTATATAGTTTTATTTTTATTCATAGCTAGTCGTATTAAAAAAGACAAAATAGAATCGAAAATATCCCACAAAGTAGTTGTCTTATATCCAACTTCATGGTTAAGCAAGAAGAGTTCCCTCTTGAACTCGTGGCAGCAGAACAGAGGCAGATGTGCCCCATGTGGTACTCGTCAGTTTTCCGCTGGCCGGACTTCGAATTCTCTCTTCCGACGTCGGTTTTCAGGTGGCCGGACTTCAACTTATCGTACCTGACCAGTGGTTGGAGCTTGCAGAGCTTCAGGTGGTGGGATTTTTCAATCGTGGATGACGTGTTGTGGACTTTCGTCACGGTCCTGGAGTCCTTTGCTTTAGTCGCCATGCTCTGTTTCTTCTTTCTTTTCTGTGGGTGTACGCTTTGATTTCTGCAAAAGCAGAAAAATTTATACACAAATTTTTGTACAGAAGCTGAGTAAGAAAGCGACTTTAATCTGAATTTACAGAGTTACAAATTCGTAACCCCGCCTCTGTTCTTCTTGGGTTCTTGATTTTTCCTGTTATTTTATTCTGTTTCGATTTCATAATTTCGCAGCTTGCTTAATCATTGAAAAGCTTTGCTGGGTTTTTCCTTGTATGCGAAAGTCTGGGTTCATTTTCTTTTTTACCATATTTCACCTGCAGAATGTTCATGATCTTGCATGGGCTGTTACCATTGGAGTATATTTCAATTTCTTGTTGGAAATTGAGCCAGTTTGTTTCGATTTGAACAATTGAAGGTATTCAGCTACTCAACAATGTCAATTTCTTAGGTAAGAGCTGATCAAAGCAATCAGAATTCATCGATTCAATTGAGTTTACCTGCATCGAAAATAAGCTAAGCTACCAACTATGTCGGGGTTAAATTGGGCTGGGGCTGATCAAGAAATGAGAGTTTTGTTCAATGGGGGAGAGAAATCATGATGGCCAAGTAGAAGGGCAATCGTTGCTTGTGAAGCTGTAAATGCTTATGATGAATTCATCAGATGCATGGTTGATTGAAACTCCGCCTTTTTCTAATTCTGTGTTCTTACAAAAGGATTAGTCTTACACGTTTCAGCCACAGCCGAAATTCTTCTATCCGTGGCTGCAAAACTCGTGACAATGCTTGATCCTTCCTTCCTGCCTTTTGCCCATTTTTCAAGTTGAAATCCAATAGTATTCAATATTTTAAAAAATTGATCATTAATAATATTATTTTAAATATTTTTTGAAATTGAACCGATTAAATCGCGCGAATGGAATCCCACTACATTTAAAGTTCCAATCAGGCCATTGGGCCCGTAAACGATAACGACCGAATTCTAGGGGAAGCTACAAGCCGACAATCAAGGACCGCAGCCAACAAATAAAGTCCACGTGGACTTCAGCAGTACAAAGAAACGAACACTCAGCAGTCAGCACCCGCCACTTCCGCCACGTGTTTGCTCCCACCGCGCTCAACTCCTCCAGCCGGCCAGCGTCCCCCACCTCCGCCATCACTGCTCTGCTCAAAAAACCAAACGACCACAGCAGAAAAGAAGAAACACTGCTACTAAAGGGTAGGAGCGGAGAAAAATGGAAGACGAAAGATCACGCTCGATTCTTCATTTAATGGTGAAGGAGGGCTGGTGCCATCTCCAGAAGAAGAAGAGAAGAGGAAATATGTCGATAAACAACTTAAAAAAGTAGCTCCTCTTATCTCTCCCATCTGATTATTTTAATCATTTTCTTCATATTTAAGGACTGGAATTCTTTGCTTTGCAGATAGTAATGGCGTGGGTTAAGCGAGTAGCTTGGCAACGTCGCCTCCCTAAACAAGATATCGTTGCAACCAGTGCCACCGTTTTAACATATAGGTCTTACGGCCTTGGGGTAAGCGCCTTTTAGCTTTCCAACTTGGTTATTACTAACTTGCTTAATACACAACAGGTTGCCAGCTGAATTTTTAAACCCTTTCCGATTTTTTGATCAGGTTCATGGTCCAGAGTCGGACATCGATGCTTTATGCATTGGTCCTTGCTTTGCCACCATGGCAGTAAGTTGATTTTAATTGCTGCATAGTTTGTCTTTGTTTTTGAATTTGGTAGTTTGGATTAGTATGGTTTCAAATAGTGGTAAGTGTAATGATGCAGGAGGATTTTTTTGTTGTTCTATACAACATGCTTAAGAGCAGACCAGAGGTATCTGAGATCCATTGCGTGCAGGATGGGAAAGTACCCTTAATGCGGTTTAAGTTCGATGGAATCTCAATGGATCTTCCCTATGCGCGGCTTAAAGTGTTAGCAGTTGCTGAGGTAGGCTTGGAAGCTTTGCATTAGATATTATGTTGGAGAAAGTTGATAGCCTTTGAAAAATTGATTGGGATAGCCTGTGAACTGCAGACCGTGGACATATTCAATCCGTTCTTTCTGAGGGATATTGATGAAACTGGTTGGAAAAGCTTGTCTGGAGTGCGTGCAAGCAAGCGGATTTGTCGGCTTGTTCCAAACTTGGAGGTACTTGTTGCTTCAGTTATATATTTGTAAATTTTGATGGCACCTGGAAGCACTGTTTTCTGCTTGTGCAATTTCGGTCTTGGTAAATCTTGTGTTTGGTTTGCTATAGAAATTCCAGTCAATGTTACGATGTGTCAAATTATGGGCAAAGAGGCGAGGAGTGTATGGTAATGTAAGTGCAATGCTTGCTAGTATGTTCTTATTTATGGGATGCTTCTGCATGAGTTTTAGCTTTGTGTCATGATTATGTTGCTAATTATGCCAACTACTTCTGTATTGAGTTGCAGTTAAATGGATTTCTAGGAGGAGTTCATTTGGCAATTCTTGCTGCTTTTGTTTGTCAGTGTGATCCAAGTGCCAGTTTGAGTGCTCTAATTTCAAATTTCTTCAAGACATTTGCCTTATGGCCTTGGCCTACACCAGTAGTGCTGCAAGATGGAATGTCGCAACATACTATAAATCCCACAGAGACATGGTTATTTATGCCCATCCAGTTGCCATGTAGTCCTTATGAATATTGCCATTGCAATATCACCAAAAGCACATTCTATAAAATCAGAGCTGAGTTTCTTAGAGGCCACAATTTAACCAAGGTACAGTTTGTTCTTTGTTATTCCTGTTCCTTTGTTCCAGCATTGAAATCTGAATGATGGGTGAGGAAAATGAAAGGGGAAGGAAGGAAATGGTTTAGGTTGGGCGTGAAGCTTGGGTCCATTTTTTTTCATTGAGATAGAGGAAAGCAAAGGGAAGGTTCGGAAAGGAGTGGCTCAGAAAGATGGAACATGAATAAACTGAAAAGAAAAGAGTGGAATCAAGGAGGATATAACACATAAATCTGAAAAGCCCACTCCATTAGTGGCTTTCTCGTTTATTTTCTTTCACCTACATTCAGCTGAAGCGGAAGGAGAACTAATGCTTCTAAGCCCTTCCCTTGCCTCCTATGATTGGTCTTTAATGGATAAGCTCCTATCTTTCTCCGACTTCTTTTCCACTCCTTCCCTTTTCCTTCCACTTCTCTAATTTAATAGAAGGGAGAAGGTAGGAAAACTCTTTATCTATTTGTCTAACATATAGATGGTACCTCTAATTTCTAAAAATGAAGGTGAGTACAGAAAATAGAGGAATTTGGATCTCCTAGAGTGTTTTGTCTTTTTAAAAAATTTTACCTTTTTTTAAACTCATTACAATAGAGAACTACTTTCTTGGTATTGCAGGATCTTCTGAAGTCAAATTTTGACAATATATTGGAGCCTTTTCCATACACACAGACATATACCCGATTTGTCAAAATTTTTGTTTCAGCTTCTAAGCAGGATGAGCTTGGAGACTGGGTGGGTTGGATAAAGTCTCGCTTTCGCTGTCTTATCTTGAAGGTAAAGCATCTTCTGTCGTAACCTCAACTTATTTTGGGGGTAAAACAGAGTGGAAGAGAGGAAGGAGGGGTGCTGTTGCTAGGACTTGAAGAGTGAATCACATATTCTTGATGCATCTTGGGTGCAAAGCAGTGAATGAAATGTAAAACAAAAAAAGCTCTCTTGTTTCATCTTTGTTCAAAGTTTATGGTGAATAACGGTTGTATGCCTCCTGCTTGGTAGTTGAGTTTTCAAAGGTTGAACGAAGTCCCTCTTCCTTGTAACCATTTCGGGTCAGGGTTTTACTGATTGCATTTGCTAGGCTTATGTTGCTAGGGTTTTCAGTAAATTTTGTTGTCATTTTCAAAATTCTAGCTCTATATGTTCCGTATATTCCATCTTAATGGTCCTGTCCGAGACTTTCTGAGGTTTTACCTGTTGCAGCTTGAGGAGGTACAGGGTCTTTGTGACCCTAATCCTGCAGAATACATTGATTTGGATGTGGCAGAGCCAAACGTCGATTTCTACTGGGGCTTACAACCAGGCAAGACTAATGTCATCAATATAGAATCTCGCAGGGAGGACTTCTGGAGGAATATCAGTAATGGCTATCAAGGCCCTCTGCGAAGGATGGAATTGTCCATCGTGCAAGCTTCTCAATTACCCAAGTATGCTCAATTTGATACCTTGAGCAGGAAAGGAACAAAAGCTAGTTGGAAGATGAGTGACTACAACCAACAGAGGATCCCTATATACTCGCAGCATCTTCCACACTATGTTGTTGGATACGTGTCAACAAGTGGGGGCTCCGAGTATCGGAGTGCTGGGGGTTAGAATTCTTATGATTTTTGTTCTGATATTAAATTTAAATTTGCTGTCCTGCTTTTGGAATTTTGGCTTCCAATTTCTCATGGTTGCCTAGTTCGTGATAGGATAAAACTAGAAATTGTATAGGAAGATACAGGAAAGTTCATGATTGGTGGCGGGTAGAAAAAAAGAGGCGGCTTGTTTGTATGTTCTGCATTAGATTATTATTTCACTTCACAATCAACAGAAAAATCACAGTAAGGATGATTATAATTAAAGATTGGTTCTTGTGCTTTGCATCATCTAGGTTGAGTTGGCAGCCATTTTTTGATTCCTGCAATCTTTTTTAATTCAAGGAAGATTCTTTTATTCCATTTTGATTTTAACGAAAGAGGTACAACCAAAGATTTCGATTAGATGCATTGATCATGATAAAAAATGGAAGGAAAAAGTTATAAAAAAAAAAAAAGAGAAGAGTAAAGAAAAGATGATCTTTCTCTTGTTCTTATTATTTTATTGAATTATTCTTTTAACTATGAATTCCAGCCCCATTTTACTTAAAAGTTGATCAGATGCTCCCTCAAATTCAATACTCAATGCATGGCCACGGCCTTGGATAATGAATTAACCCAACAAACCTACAATGCTAGATGCCACAAGAGAAAGATGATGGACAACTTTATTCCTATCATTAAACGCAAGTTTCTTGCATCAAATCCATTCCTTTTGATATCTGAAACTGAAGATGATGGTGTTGCTAAGAAGTAAGAATTCAAGGATTAGAGGAGTGTTAGTCTTTGACACATGATGAGTTTCTTCATATTTTTTGTCAAAGGGACAGTTAATTGAAGAATAGCACGAGCTGCTGGAAATGTGGTTTGCTTCGTCCTTTTAAGCTTTTAGAATTTAAGTTATGACAGAAATCTAGCATAAGAAAAAACATAGCATATGCCAAGATGCCCAAGCTAGAATGATGCCCATATAAGCTAATGGGCTAATGGCTTTTCAATAATGTTGCATGCTTTCATTAGTTAATTGGCAATATTTTCTCAGCCCCATTCCTTTCTTTTTTTCTTCCTGTTTTTGAGTGTGGGGACGATTTGTTTATCACTTTTGCCCTCTATGGAAAAAGATGATAAGGGTGCTTTTATTACATGCCCTTTGAAACATTATCTTGTCCATAAAGTATGAACAGAGATGATAGAAGGAAAAAAAAAAAAAACACATGAAACGAAAGGAATCCACTCACAGTGCTATCCTCTGCATGCAGAAAGATTGAAACCAGTGAGAAAGCAGGACGGATATGGCAAAAAGGACCCTTTTGAAAGCATGATATGAACAATCATGCTATAAAAGAAATTCTATGTACTTTGCAAATCATAATCTTTGATGATTTCTCTGCAGATACCAAACTGTGAATTCAAGTATATGATAGACCTTGACAAGTTTTCCTTCCCACGCCTCTTGATGGGCTCCAGTTTTTTCCATCAGAAGTGATTGATTGAAGATGAAATGTTGGCTTAATAATACTATTTTTCCCTGATATTTGTTCCTATCTCCCAATTCTTGGTCCCAAGATTGTCCATGATCAAAAGTTTTATCTTCCTTGTCCATTTCTGAGAGTTCGAAGGTCTTAAAAGAGGATAAGGATTAATGAGAAAGGATTACAAACCTTTTCACTTTATGTATTGCATGTAAATTTTATAACTTTTTTTTCCTGCAGAAACTTGTTTCTCATGACTATTTATAGAGGTGGTTGAGCTGTCAATAACCCAAGGACCGGCCTGTTCTCACAAACCTTCCAACACCCAAAAGAAGATGAAGAACATCATCCCTTTAGTTCTGCTGCAGATTGCATTTTCCTTCACTTCTCTTCCTGTTTCAGCCCTGGAATTGCAGGGTGGTCGTGGTGGTGCCAACAACCTGGTAGAAACAACTTGCAAGAAGACACCCTTTTACAACCTCTGCCTCTCTACTCTACAATCAGACCCTCGAAGTTCCAGGGCCGATTTGGCGGGGCTAGCCCACATAGGAGCAGATAAAGTGAAAGCTAGAGCCACTGCAACACTGAGGCAGATCACCGGGTTGCTTAGAGCGGCTAAAGACCCGAAGCTGCAGACGGCCTTGCGTGACTGTATTGATTTGTACGACACTATCATTAAGTATGACATGCCGGTTACCATTGAAGCTATTACCAAAGGCAATCCGAAGTTCGGCGTCCAGGGTGCAACTGATGCAGCCAATGAAGCTGATGATTGCGAGAGGAGATTTGGAAACCCACCAAAGTCGCCAATTTCTGGTAGCAACAAGGCTGTGCATGATCTTTCTGCAGTAGTTGCTTCCATTGCCCAATTACTGCTGTGAGGGCCTGATCTTGTCAGTTCCGCAACATCTGCTCTTGTGGTCTAATATCAAAAGATACATGTAGAAATATAGTAGGAATCTCCTGAAAAGGAATAAAATAATTAATTATTAAGTAAGGTGATTCTGAAAAACATATTAATTTAGCTTTTTAGGAAAAGAATAATGATCTTGAACAAGTATTTAATTTATTAGGCATATTATTTTCAAAAATTATCTTCATCCATTACCCTAAAATCACTCAAATGCAATCATTCTGTTTACACAATCTTTGGACAAAGTTCTAAAAAATATTTGTATACGGTTTACACAATCTTTGGACAGAGTTGTAGAAAACATTTGTATAATAATTATATGTTTAATGTGTCATAATTTACGTATCTAGATTTCTTGGATTGGATATCAGATTCAAATTCTTTCCAATTGAAGGCAGATATTCTAAAATTGGAGGATTTTATTCAAATTCCATTTGATTTTTTCCTTTTAGAAAATTCATTCCCACGCCTATAAATTTGTACCAAGCCCATTTTTGTACAGAAGTGATTTGAGGTTTCAACTCTCTTGAAAATTTGTGTTCCTACACCCGAACATGGCAAATATGATCCGTTTAGTCATACTTCAGGCGGTAATTTCCTTCAGTTTTCTCCCTGGAAGCTACTCAGCCAGCAATCTGATCGAAACAACATGCAAACAGACACCCTTTTTCGACCTCTGCGTCTCATCTTTGCAGTCAGACCCTCGGAGTTCTAGTGCAGATGTTGCAGGACTAGCCCACATAGCAGCTGATAATGTCAATGTTAAAGCCACTGCAACCCTGCAGCAGATTAAAGGATTGCTTGAAGGTGCCACAGATCCTGAGTTGCAGAAGGCCTTGCAGGGCTGTGTTGATAAATACAACGCAATCATTCAGGCTGATATCCCAGTAGCCATCGAGGCGATTGTCAAAGGTAATCCGAAATTTGCCGTCAGTAGTGCAACTGATGCTGCCAACGAAGCTCAGAGTTGTGAGAAGGGTTTTGCAAACCCACCCAGCTCGCCAATCTCTGATAGCAACAAGGATGTGAATCAGCTCTCTCTTGTGCTTCAATCCATTGCCTCATTGTTACTCTGAGGCCTGATCTAGCTAGTCCATGTTGCAAAACCTATACTAATGATTGGTTCTCTTTACTATCAAATGATCTCCAATAAAATGCATTTATGAATCAGATCGATGGTTTTTCCTATTCAACTTTGATATTTATTTAGCAAGCTGGAAAAGAAAGACCGCTAACATAAAGTTATGGTCCCCGCAGAAAAGGTTACAGCTTTTGGTTCTCAGGCTATCATCAGCATGGTGCCAATTGCCGCAAACTCGATATACAGGAAACGACCTACAAAACAAGCCCATTCTTTAAATTCAAAGCACGATGAATTGAGTCTATTCATTTTAGAAATTGACAAAATGGAATACATGGAACCATTAAGGTTAAGCAGACACTTGCTTTTAATGGTGCCTTAGCTGGCTGGCATTACAATCCAAAGCACCAGAAATGATTGGGCATTAAGCCAAAAAAGGGGTGATTGCCTGATGTGAACGTTCATTAATTTGCCTTATTGGCGTCGGCAGCCTTGTCATTGAAATGGGTCTAATTGCAGAAAATATCAAACCAAGATAACACACGGATTTTACAATATCCTGTGTGCTTGGATCTGTCAATGGAACGACTCGGGTAAAAAACCTCACTTTCTATGTTTTGCCGGGCAAAATTCTCAGAGGTAACAAGTAACTGCCAATTCACATTCGGTCTTAGGAATTAGAAAAACAGTGGACTTGTCCTGTCTTTTCTTTTCCGTTAAGATATGATATCAAGGTAATAAAGACAGAATAAGACAAAAATGAAGAGTATCATCAATAAGAACACGAGGAAGGTATTTCAAAATTTACACCTAAGCTGGGTTTCCTAAACTCATGCAAACTCTCTCCCTCTCCCGCGGCGCCTTCCCCCCCATGTCCAGGCCAATGCAAGGCCGCTGGACCCACGTGACAAACCGTCGGCAACGGCGTCCCCCCCCATGCAACCGACGACCACCGTGCAAGAGCCGCCGTCACCTCCGGTGTCTACTCGGACACTAAAAAAATCGTTTCTCTTATAGCCTTTTTTTTTTTGAAGATTAAATATGTGGTGTATTTATATGCTTGATCCCTTATTGCCGTAACCCTGGAAGATATAAAGACAAACCTGCTGCGATTTTCTTTTCTGATGAAATCGAAACCCTTTCCCTTCCTTTCAAATACTCTGTTATTGGAAAGTTCACAAGGATGCCGAAGATGGAGGAGATCCGGAGTTCTTTCATGGGCATTGGGCTGTGCATGTATATGATATCCGATGGCTTAACTATAAACATGTTCTGATCAACCTCACCAACAAGCATGATTTCAAACGTATATGGACAAGGCAACTGTGGTTCATAGCAAATCAGAAAATGAGGACTTTCAAATGGAGCCCTGGTTTTACACCAGAGAAAGAATCCTCTATTGTTCCGGTTTGGGTGTCATTCCCTAATCTAAAACCCCATTATTCGAAAAATCTGCATTAATGGCAACAGCAAAGACAATCGGCAATCCTTTGTATGTGTATGAGTTCACTGCCAATGGTAATCGTCCAAGTATAGCGAGAGTTTGTGTCGAATGACTGCCTTGTGCTGCCTATCAATTCTATTTGTATAGTGATTCGTGATCGGCAATACAAGAGGCAGCTATGAGCAGAAAGTAGAATTTTCAAAGATGCCGGACTACTGTTCTCACGGCTCTCATATTGGACACAATGTGTCGCACTGCTTGGTACCGGGTAATAAGCCAGAAAATTCTAGAAACTTGAAGGCCACGGGCACTACAGCTGAACCATCAAAAGTTCAGGCCAGGAAAGACGCTGGTAACGCTCCCAACGACGACCTTGAAAAGCAGGCACAGCAGGCCCTAAATCTGGCAGAAAAAAAGAAGTAGTCGACAATGGAAAATGGTAGAAAGAGGTGAGAAAAGTGGTGTTAAAAACTCCCAGGCAGTGAAAATTAATTCAGCTTTGCTTGTGAAAATTTCGACTGTTGAAAATTACCAAGATCGGCACTCATCACCTCCTCAAATCATTAGATGGCTTAAGCTTAACATGGATGAAATCAAACTTAATGTAGATGAAATCAAATTGAATATTTCATATGTTAGATTTTAATAAATATAAAAGAGTAGTACTTTTTATTTATTTTTTGTATTTAATTCTTGTAAACAAGTAAAGTTTATGTTACTTCAATGTATTTCAATTTTTCATCTTTAATAAAACTTTAACAGGGAACTAGTTATTCCAGCGAACATGAGGAAGTTTATTTATACTAGTACAAATTGGAATTGCAACAGAGTTGGTGCAGTCATGCCTGTACACTTGCATGATGGCACATATAGCATCGAACAGATAGAGAAAAAAGTTTTATTCTCAGGGAAGAGTGAAATTACCAAGCTCTCTGATGTAAAAGTTCCGTTTGATTGATACTTTTTTGAACCTAAAACGTCTCTAAGCTTTTATCAATTAGGATAAGCATAAGGAGATACTTTTTTGGCCAGAAAAGATAAAGTTTCATATCATTCATCTTTTTTTTTTTCAAACTTTGCTTTCAATTCCCAATCAATGATTTGCAACCAGACACCCTTCTATGATTGTTGTATAAGCTGTCATATATCAGAGGCTCAAAACTCACATCATCCACGACATAAACAGGGACAAGGGAAGAAAAAGATACCGAACCACGTAAATTATATGATTCACAGAAAATCAGAGCTGCAGTGCAGCAGTCCTTAGTGCATAATATTACAATGCAAATACTTAAAAAATGGAGACATCCTGATTGCCATTCAGGCTTTGGAGACAGAAACTTATAAATTCAGGGAACAATATCCATGCTGTCCTTGAAGTTTATCTTGTGTGAAAACAAGATCCCGGACCAGATGAATAAAGTCGTGCTTGAGTTGTGCATGAAATCTCAATACTGGCCGCTGCTGCCATTGTCAAGATACCGCTTCCTCCCCCTTTTGCCTATTAAATTCTGAAGTATTCTGTCAGGTGAAAGATGACAGAATTGAGTAGGGAAAAAGGATCATCAGGAAAAAAAGATCATCAGGAGGCTAAGAACACCTTCTGAAGTACTAATAAAGTACTCAAACTACAGTGTTATCTGTCAAAGCGTTGACAGGTGGTTTCATTTTTTTTATGATTGTACATAAAATCCGTGATCAGCATAAGAAACTTGCACGTGAATGTGTTGGCCATTGGAAACAATTCCATTATTGCTAATGGTAGTCATCCCCATTTTCAATCAGGACTTATTAGAATATTCCAGAAACAAAATTTTTTAACTCTGGAATTTAAGAGAGCCGAACACGTGTACCTTGTCTAGTTTGTAAAGGAAGTAGTAACTTTTAACCACACATTTCTTTCAAAGTTTACAGCTTCTTTGGCTTGTGAACAATCAAAAGAAGTGGGACAAGGTTCTTCCTACATAAAACCAAATTGTTGGCAACTTTGTGATTCAAGTGTTTCATCCTTCACCTTGTAGATAATAATGTCAAGGAAAGTTCCATCCATAACCAGTGAAAGCTTTTCTCTCTACCCACAAACGAGACAATGTATGTGGCTGTTGTGCGGCATTGATTCATGTGCGAACACAGAAATTTGGTCTAATAGAAACAAAAACCAAATCCAATAAAGGTGCTCATTTCATGACCAAAAAGAAAGAGCCTATCATTCTATAAGAAGAACATGCAATCTGATCACCAAGCAGCAAAAACCAATCACCCCTCTCTCCCCAGCCTCTTGTCATTGGTAACAAGAATGAAAACCTCAATCTCTTCCCCACCCATCTTTTCTCTCCATCTTCTTCTTCTTCTTCTTCTTCTTCTTACAGTTTCTCTACCATCAATCCAATGTGGTGATCTGGTAGACCAAATTTGCAAGCAAACACCATTCTATGACTTGTGCATCTCTACCTTGAGATCAAACTCTAAAGTCACAGAGTCAGATGTAAAAGGCCTAGCAAGCGTGGTGGCTGACACCCTGTTGGCAAATGCAACTGACACACTGAATTACATCCGAGCTCAGATAAACCAAGCATCGGACCCGGAGATGGAGAGAGCATTGGCCTATTGTGCAGAACTTTACATTCCAGTTGTCAAGTACAATCTTCCTCAAGCCATCGAGGCCCTGAGTAAAGGTCAGTTTGAATTTGCCAGTGATGGGATATCTGATGCCGCTAAGGAGGCAGATGCTTGTGAAAAGAAATTTTCAGGGTCTATGACATCACCGTTAAGTGATAGAAACAAACTTCTTCATAGCCTCTCTGATGTGGCCGTAGCCATTGTCAAGATACTGCTGAAGGGTTGATTATGAATTTTACTTATGAGGAAAATGTTCATTTTCTGCTTGTTTTTAGTCGCGAAATCTTGTGCACTTATTTCCTGCCTGTAAATTTTATTCTATTGGATTGGTAAGTATTGTACTTCAGAGTTCAGACAGCAGTTTCAACTTTCAAGTTCAACCATACATTTAGCATCTTTTCTTGTCGTCTTCATTCTTCGTTTTTGCCCCTTTGCCTCTTTCTTTCTTGTTCTCGCACCACTTTCCGGGCTATCGTTTGGGGTGAAATGGCTTTGGGCCTTGTCAGTTTTTAAGTCAGCCCAATGATTGGCGGACTGGAAATATGACTAAGCAGGAGAGTGACACTGTGACAGGGTGTTGAATGCGATGGGGTGGGAGACTCCATGGCTCTAAATTGGCTTTAAATATCTAGTTATGATATCCTGGATAATTGCATCTGTCTTGTATGGTTTTTTCATTCACGTTTTTGTTTTTCTGGGGGATATTCTCTCAGGAGTCTGAACACATCTGCATGATTGGAATCAATTAATGCCAAATCTAGTGCTTTCTTTGGTTTGAATGGCAGTTAAGGATGACGATTTCAAAGGATATGGAGAGGTGGTACCTCTTTCCCTGTGGCAATTAAAACCCGTCCAGCTCACAAAGATTAAACAAACATGCACACGTGAATCCACATGACATGAAGGAGCAATCCCCTTGACAGGCGGATTTCAGGACTCCAAGCGGGCCTTTCACTGGCCCCCTTCACACGACTGAATCCCCCCTTCAAAATTTGCAAAATAATTCAATCTGCAATGCTCGAAAACAGCATGCTACGTGTACAAAGCAACATGATTCAGGGGGACTTGAGACATCAATCTTATTAGCCTGGCCATCAGATAAACAAGAAAACACTTCCTACCAGAAGCGTTTTGAACTGTAAAGTTAGGGAGCCAACGATTGGAGTGAAAAACAAGAAAGATTACCAATAATAGGTTTGCTAAGACACCAAAACTAGCATTACCTAAAGCTTCAAATAGGACCTCTCCCTCGCTCCAGACTCAGCAGAGTCAAGACTCAAAACAGATAAATATACTCTGATTCACGAGTAAACTTGAGAGTGTTGATCCCAAAGATATTTTGGAGTCAGATCATCCAACAAGAACACTATTATTAAACTATTATTTTGAAATCACAGAGTTCTCATGAATCTAGGAATTTCTTACAGCATATTTTAATGAAAATGATGTATAAGAGGTTAAAAAAAAACTGGTTGCATAAATCTTGCCGTGCCATCTGGGGAGAAATTTGAATTCTGACTTTCCTTAATGGGATATCTCTATAGAGAATACATGATCCCACAACATAAGCGGACAAGGTAAAGTTGTTGTGCAGGCGAATTATTGAGACCATGGCCAAAGGCCACCAAAAATTTACATGGTAATTTAGCTCACCCCCAACTTCAAATAGCATTTACATGCACGGGATAAATTACCAGCAAACTCAAAGTGTAAAGATTTGAAGGCTGTGAATGCAAATAAGGGTCCAGCGAAACGGCTTCGAAGGGAAGTTGTGAACCGCAAAGATTTGTATCTATAGCCACAGATAGAACATTCGCATTCAAACAGCATTTTATTTTATCCAGAAAATCTTCTCAGCTTCTCCTGAGCATCTGAACCGGCAACCTGCTCCACTAAACTGCAGAAGAGAATGCAGATAAGAAATCAGTATTGCAAGACTACCATGCCTCTGTTATCTTAATTTTTAAGAACTTTAAAAACCAAAAATAATACGCAAATGCAATAGAATTTTGTAGCCACTGATTGTTACAAACCTGGGAGACTGAGAGTCAGGTCGATTGGGAATACTTGCAGATGGATTCCCAAAGAACTGAACTGAAATTAGACCTCCCTCCACTGCTCCTGCTGGGACAGGAGATCCTTGAAGACTTGCCACCGTACCTCTGGATGACATTCCTGCAGAAAAGGAGCCAAAATAATTTCAGTCCATATTCAGAGCTTGGAAACAGAGGTCTGCATTCACTCTTAAAACTAATTTGCATAAATATTTCAACTGGCTCTTGCAGGTGGTAAACAGATATTGATGAAACTAAGAGCACCATAGTAGTTAGCAAAAATGAAGTATCTTGCAAAATCAAATTCTTGCAGATCTCATTCCAATTATTAGTTGATATAGAGCCGAAGGTAACATTAAAATTGCTCCCATTTCTAGCACTTTAAAAGAACTGTGTCTTAAGATCTTAAAAAGAATGGAAGTAAGCAATTGCTTTGTTTTGGCTGATAAGTAAGCAACCGACTAATCACTAGTTTCTCAGCTTTAAGCAACCTTAGCCTAGAAAACAAATTTAAACAACACAAAAATCCCACATAAGGAAAGCTACAAAGGAATGAAAACGAAGAAACAGTGATAGAGCATCTTTTACCAGCATTCTGAAAGAATTAAGCCAGAAACAATCGGAAGGGCAAAAATCAAGTATGGTGCTAAAACATTATTAAATCTAAAGTACCATAAATAGCAAATACTCCACTATAAACAAGCCAAGCCAAGGATTTGAATCTTTTAGGATAATTAGAGTTCTTGAAAAGATTGTACTATCCAGTAAGGAAATATTACCTTGAAAAATAAAAACAAGACAGAAGAAGATGGTAAACACCATGGCAAACATGTTGCTGTTAGAAGATGTTGTCTTAGCAGCTTTCATCTTCTTCAAGGCTTTCATCCGCTCAATTCTTGCACGCTTCAACCTGGCAAGTTCTGCTATCTCCCTAATTAACTTCTGGTCAGCCGCATCCAGTGATGGAGCTCTTGGAGGCCTAGGAGGTTTAGGAGGTTTTTTATTACTCAAGCTTTTACGTTTCTCCCTCACTGATTTAATCTCCTTAGCATCTTTACTGTCTTGTCCCTCCATATTCATGCTTGTTACCACCTGCACATTCTCCACACATATCCTACCAGAATTTGAAGCATCACCAGACAAGGATACTCTATCATCTGACCCCTCGGCAAAACTGCCTTTAACCTTAGCAAGCAACAGCTGTGCCTTCTTTTTAACACCAGAAACAGGGCTTCTGCTATAATTTTCTTCTTCACTAACAGCTACTCCATTTTCAAGGTCAAGTTCGAAATCTTTATCCCTAGGAGCCATCCAATGGATCACAACCCACTCCCACAATCTCAATCTACTTTTACTTGGTCAAGTTCTCCCAATGATCAAAGCATCAGACTCTGAGACCAAAAATTCCACCTGAATATCCCACTACAAAAATTGCCTCCCACAAAGATGCATTTTAAACTTTTAACTTGAAGCGGCAAAGACGGCAACTTTACAGCTTTAAACTCAGAAAATATCTTCAATAAATGCACTTTAACTTATCATACACGCTTGTGTCTCCTCTCAACTAAAAAGTATAATCCACATGCATAAAAAAACAACACTTTTTCTCTTTTCCTTTTATATTAGGCTCCTTAGCCAGAACTCCCTCAATATCAAGCCTCTAACTTATAATCCCAATGAGGCAAAGATCAGACCCTGCATCCATTAACAAAATATAGAAAACTCATCACAAAAAATCCCAAAATGACCACAAAAACACCAAGGCAAGCTTGAATCTTTTTCTTAAAGAAAATGAAAATTCAACAGCCTCGGAAACAGCGCAAAAGGACAAAGCTTTGAGGCATACAAAAGCAACACAAACATAAAAAAACCATTCAAACCCAGAAAATGTACCAATCAAAACCCCACATTTATCAACACCCAATAAAGTAAAAAAGCTTCCTTTATCAAAGAAATAAGTATACATATATATAAAAAAATACCTTGGAAAGAAAGCAAGAAGACCCCAGATCCGATGCCCAGAAAACAAGTTTGAAACCAGGCATATGTTTTCCTTATTCCATCTACGAAAAACCTTAGAATATATATATATATAAATATGTATAAACAGATTGGTAAATGTATGCAATGCGGAGGTTTTAACAGCTTTGGATTCAAGACAAAAGAGAGAGAGAGACAGGGTGAGGAGGGTACTTAGAAAGTACTAGATAACTGGAGATTGAACAGACAAGACACTGTTTCAAACGTAACAAACTCGAAACTTCTCTCCTCTCTAACCAAAAAAGTGAAAAAAAGGAGTCTTTGTTTCATTTCTTTGGTTTCTGGTTTGGGTTTTTAAATATAAACTCTATGCTGTCAATTGAAACTGCACCGACACATGGCAGTCCCCATTGGCCCCTCTGTTTTCCTTTTATTTCCCTTTTGTTACCACCATGCTTTTCATTTATCTAATTTTGTCCCCCCCTTTCTTCTTCTTCGTTCAACTTTTTAGCTGTGATGGTGTATTTATTATTCAGAAAATTCAATCTGGTTTGCATGTTTCACATTTTCAGTGGGTTTTCTTTTTCTTTAACACCTTGATACATATTCCATCATCTTTTCAGCATGCTGAAGCAATTGGCCGTGGTTGCCCACAAAAGTGAAGAATATATATAAAAAGCAACCCAAAGCAAAATCTATCAATCATTGTTGAAAATTTTTAAGACCGATCACGTGGATTTCGATAAAGTTAGTACTCAAACATTGAAAACCACAATAAACTGAATAATCCTTATCTAATAATATACAAACGATTTTCAATGACTAAATACAATCAACGATAATGAGAGATTAACGAAATATAATATTATCAATTCGGTTTAAGTTTTTGAATTTTTTGTAAAAATAAATTGTTTTGGTTAAGAAAACATTTTCTCTTTGATTGTTCATGAACCATGAAGCTATTGTTTACTTTTTCTGGGGGACTGAAAAAGGCACACGAGATAAGATTCTAAATTGTATGATTGGCTCAGAAGTAAACAAAAAAGCATGTTACATGTGTTATGAATGACATTATGGTCAGCTTTGTAAGGTAATAACCCAAACTTTATGGGACCTTGCTGCAAGATATCCACCTGCTAGTGATGTCACACTCCCATGACTTCAAATCCACCGTTTTTTAGTATGGGGGCTTGTACTTGTATAAGCTTTTCCTCAGTGAAACAAATAAGAGGAAACGATATAAAAATCTCTTTATAAGTGTGTAAGATTCAGAGTCTTAGTGATCAAATTCAAACTCTAGGCAGCTGAAACATGCAAACGAAGCCAAGACAAAGAAAGTGGTGGGAACAACGTTTTGATTGAATCTGATAATCCGAAATTTATTTAGTTATAAATAATCTGATAATCCGATAATCCAAAAAATAAAAAAGATGTTATCTTTTTTATTAATTTATTTATCCATTTACTAATTTGTCGAGCTTACTCAATTTGTAGCATTTTATCTTGTCCCTGTTTTACTTTAATGGTGAAAAAAAAAAAAACCCAAGAGAGTGAATGGTTTATACATTGAAGATTCAGAGAGTGATCCAAGTAAGAGTCAGAGCCATGGTGATAGTGGTAAAGGACAGCCATGGTTTCATGGCTTTAGCTTCCCATTCTAGCTGGATCAGGATGGGGATATGCTGTCACTCTTTTGATACAAATAATGCCTTTTTTATTATTTTTTTTCAATTCATTCATCCCAAAAAAGATAAAGATGCTATACGCTGCCCAACGACAAGGGAAAATGGAAATAGTGTGTTGGATTAATTGCTAGAGGGTTCAATGCTATCTAGTTGGGAAGCTTAATTTGGACCCATGCCCTAACCATTATTAGATACGATTTTTGGTGGTGTCATACTTCTTTCAAATCTTGTCCCATTCAAAAAAATATCAATTATTATTATTATTATTATTTCTGATATTACTATTTTTCACTTTCATAATCGAAAAATGAAAAAGAACTCAAATTCGAATATGAAGAAGAAAAAAACTATTCTCTTAATAAAAAAAATAAGCAATCGATGAATTAAAACTCATCAAAACTCCAAGATTTTTGTTTTGGAAAGTTGATTTGTCCGCTTTTCTTTAACTTTTATGAAAACTAAATAAACAGAGAAAAAAGAGATGGAAAAGAGCATATAATTTGCATGGTAAGTTCTAGTCCATGCCCTACCATGTGGGATCCTCAAATGTGTTTACCAGACAAGGATGGGTGCATGCATGGATGCAAGTCTATGCAAGATTTGGATGGGACCATATCAGGTAGCAAGCCTACAATCACGTTACAAAGATCTTAACTATGTGACAAAAACATTATTTAGGGCTCATGGGGGTAACCTTGTTTGAGATACTAAAACACCTTAAATTATGATTAATCGATCCTAAATATAAAAGAATTTATATTTAAGATATTGCCGATGTATAATATCTAAATTAGATGAGTTGTGCTACTCCTTTTAAAGTTCACATCAAATGTGGGGGGCAACAGTTTGATATGATTTTTGTGGTGCAAGGGGACGCCGGCTTGGATCTTTTGAAATCGGCCATGGCCCATCAAAGACCAGAGCAACTAACTTTTCACTTATTTTTGGACTGCTCAAGCCCAAGTGAGGGGGTCGGGTCACAGTGGGCACAATTCCGGTGGTCCGGTGGAGCCTCCGCCATTAACATAGTGCACCTCACCACCCAACACCCATGCTGGTTGGGTCCCCCTGGTGTCAAGGTACGAAGAATGGTCTGTGCAACAGTAATCAGATGAATCCCTCCATGGATTTAGTCGAAAAGAATAATGCAAAATCAATCCAATTTTTTATTTAAATTTGTTGGTACTCAAAACTCCAAAGGTTTTGTCAAGCAGCATCCTGTTAAGAGCAATCGAATATTTCATTGGATAGGACTGACGACAGATGACATGGTATCTTCAGATGTAAAGTTGGATAATGTTTGAGGTAGAATGAATAAGTTAAGCAGAGAGACTAGAATTTAATAATGGCTGCTCCGCTTGACGGCTTCGAAGCGAAAACATAGAGACCAAGGTCATTCTTGTTGATTATGCCTCTGTTGATCCTCGATTGGTAGAATTGTTCCTGATGATACAAAAGCAAAATGTTAAGGCTCCAGCGTCTGTGGTATTTGAAATGTGAGCAAAAAATTACAAGCTAACAAAGGCTGTACCTTCAAATTGAGGATGAACTGGGGTACAATACTCTCTTTCACCAAGGCCACTGCACAACCACCCCATCCAGCTCCGGTAAGCCTTGCTCCTAGAGCACTGTTGTCTCGGCACGCTTTTACCAGTTCCTCCAACTCCGGGCAGCTAGTTACAGAAAACAAGGAAAGATCAGCAAATGGTAACTAGCACGCATGTGGACTTGCCCTCAGTAACATCGAAAATAATTGTAAAGGTAGTAGTATAAAAATTTTGTAACCAAAAGACACATCAGAGTCTGGTAATATGACCAAAAAATCATTATCATGCATAAGAAAAGGCTCCACTCAGCTCTGATGAAACAGTAAATGGGGTAGCAAACAATTTTTCTAACAAGGTCATAGTGATGATCTTAGAGAGAAGTTTGAATGGCTATGCACATTCTGATGGTTGTACCTGCATTCATACAGAACACTGCAGCTGTAGTGGCTTTCATTCATAAGATCACCAAGCTTCTTGAGCTTTTCCTCCTCACTACACAATAAATTAATAATTATAAACCATTAGTTTTCAGACAGAACAATTTAGGTATTGATTCGAAAAGGAGAAAGATAAACTTTTAGCCCTTATTAGCAATCATATATTCAACTGCTGCACAAGCACAAGAACTCCAATCGACATCAATTCTGTAGGCACCAACAAATCTTCAAGTGCATGAGTATAGCTCCATTAAACAGAGTTAAAATTCACCGTTGGGAACAATTAGGGAGTAAGAATCCCTTGAAAATTTTATGAGAACTTGTGAAAGACCATAGCTAACTATCATAAATTATAAGTCACCTTAAGCTTGATGACACGGTATCCTTGAAAGCATGAACCCGCTTGGCTTCAGAATACACGTGAGCAGCTCTCTGGAAATTAGAATCGAGTGATAAATGAATACACCCTAATATAAACAAATAAACCAAAATATTTCTTGCTAATGAAGACAGTTAAAAATATACAAAAATTATATCAAGACCAGTGGCAGAATCTAACAAAATTTCACAAAAGGATGAAGACACTATCTCAGGATCACTGGTACTGGTTCCAGTAAAGAAACCAATAACCAAGAGGGTGAAATGTGAATAACGACCCACCAGAAAATACAAAAGTCTAAGGAAAATATGGAAATATATAGGCTCTAAAAATAAAAGGACAATTTTCTTTGTGGATTTCTTGAAGCAGCTCATTGAAATTCTACTATTTAATCCTATGGATCTAACTAATTAAAATAAATAATATGGAATATCAGTTCAAGCAATATCAAAACAATCACCTAAATCATAATTAATTACGATATTAGTTCAATAAAATTCCATCCAACTTCAACCAAAAGAAAGTACCTGATGCAACTTGAAGTGCTTGGCTGCTTTTAGCACATCCAAAGAAGTCGGATTGTCACCCAAGATTGATGGAAGATTCTCCTCAGTGATTTTCTCAATTTCTTCAGTCGTATATGGCTCCTCCTTCAAAAATTCCTGCAGCAAAAAATTAACATATAGTTTAACACAATAGAAGAGAAAGCAATATCATGAATATTCAAGGGTTGGCAACTGAGATTTAAACATAAAACAAGAAATAAACACCATAATATCATGGAGGTAGAAAATTAAATGATAGAAACCTTGACAGCAAGGACAGGATCATTAGAATCATGATCACCAGCAAATTGAACACATAACCCTTCAACATCAGAAAGTGTTTTGACTTTAGATATTGCCTCTTGTGCCTTCATTCCCAGCTTTATACCAAGCACAATCTGAAATTTCAAAGAAAATGCAAATTGTGAGTCTACGTAGAAACACACATGTCAACACACACCCTTCAGGGAATATTAACTTACAGCAGCCAATCGACATTCAACAACTCTGTTATTATAATTTATAGCAGCTGTAACAGCTTTTTGAGATTCTGCCAATGAATGAGCTATCACAAATGTGCCCCCAGCAGGGAGTTGCACATCAGTTGCACGAATAGGATTGAAATCTATTAGCTCAGCAAACCCAGTTTTGGCCATCAGGGAGATTGCCTGTCATAAATAAAAAGATAATAAGTGACACACAATTTTCTATAACCACAAATTAATTTGGTAGCATGATCATGGTAGCAAAAAAAAAAACCTGGTCCATCCCACCAGATTGTGTTCCAATGTGCCTTTCACAATCACATGTAACTTGGGCAAGTTCTTTCTGTTAAATGAAGAGATGTTAGGAACTTAGATTTCGGAATACAACTTGTGATTACCTCAGTGAAAATAGCATACCTTTGGGAAATTAACATCAAAAGCAGCCATAATAGCAATTGTACATGAGCAAACAAATGCTGCAGAGCTTGATAGTCCCGAACCTAGAATAAGGAAATGTAAGCTTAAGAGTCAATTTCTTACATAAAAGAAAATATAAAAGAAAATACGAGTAAAATTTTATTCAATTAGTTTCAATTAACAGCAAAATCTTGATGCAAAAAATACCTGTAGGAACAGTTCCATCAACAAGAACATCAAGGCCAACCGGCACACCGACATCCACTCCTTTTGACTTGGCATATTCATAATAACCTTTATACCTACATGAGCAATACTATTAGCATCACCATTTCATGGCAGCATACTATACCAATAATTTGAAATAACTACATATACAGAGCAAAAGAATTCAATATCTCACCCACAAATGAAATAGTGGTACTTGTATACTTGTGGAAAAGGATAAATATACCAATAATTTGTAATAACTACATACACTGAGCAAAAGAATTCAATATCTCACCCACAAATGAAATAGTGGCCCCATCTATGATTTTTCAAGTCAATTTCCTGCAAAATAAACAATGTCAGGTATTTTGACACAGATTCAGAGCAATACTGTAAGCCAACAGACTCACAAAAGTGGCAATTTTGCAAGTTGCAGGAACAAAGGCAATCAGAAAAGGAAGTTAAATATACAAACTCCTCAAGAAACTTTTGGCAAAGTGTAACATAAGCATGTCAATAAGTATAATTAGCAGAGAACAATAAAGTTACCACATGACCAAAAAAGGAAAAAGTCATAAACCTGGTTAGGATCAGCAGGATAAGTACACGTAGTGTACTTATTATTGACATTAGCGATTCGGAGAAGCTTTTCAGCCTCCCCTTCATCATGCTTTCGGACTGCCACAATCGTGTCTTGTCTGATTGCCATCGGCAACACTGAGTATCCTTCATAGTCAATGTGTTCTCCAATCAAGTTTACTCGCCCTGCATAGCAATTCATGATTAATCAACGAGTTCAAAAATCACCAATGTTCACGATTAAAACAGCCAAACCAAAAAAAAAAAAAACTCTAGAAGGAGAATTCTATTTTTCCGTTTCAATTAGTTGTTTTTAGTCAATACTGTTTGTCTATTTTTCTCAAGATGTTTCTCAGCGACCAAACAGAAAATTATCCAAAACGTAGTTCGAATTTAACAATTACTAAACATGCAAAACACAAATATCAATGAGAGATTTAAATTCAAAATTCAATCTCTCGCTTACTTCTTAACCAACCAAAAACAGAGAAAAAAAAATCAGACCTGGAGATCGAGCGAAGACATCGGGAGGGTGACCGAAGACTTCCAGAAACTTGGACTTCAATTTATCGAATCGAAGCTGAGCTTCTTCCAGCTGAGATCCGTCGCCGTACACCGGTTCCAATGAAGAGTAAATTGGAATCGGAAGCTCTTCGTGCTTCGCCATTGCTCTCTGTCTCTCTTTCTTGATCACCGCAGCAGTTTTAATTGAGCAGCTTTTGAGTTTGGATTAAGCTCTTGCACTCCAAATAATCCAAACCGAAACTGAACAAAGTCTCAAGGAGTCCTCTCTCTTTTAAATTCTTCTTTTTATCTTATTTATCTATTTACCACCAAATTAAAAAATAATTTCCCTTTTCTCGTGATTGAATAGAATATTTTATTTCCTTTTTGGCTTGCACGTGGCTCTTTTTCTGCTCCTTTTCATGTTACGTGGCGGATATCTGTTCCTTTGGAGAAAAAAAGGAGTAAAGCTTGGATATATGCGAGAATCGAGAAGACTGCCCGTGATTTCTGATTGGGAATTACCGCGACGGTAAATATTGTCAGAGATGTAATAAAAAAAATACTTTCTTTGTTTTGAAATATTTATTTTTTTTATTTTTATAAAAATCAAGATAAAAAATTTGAATTTTATACAAGTCACGTTAAAATTTAATTTTTTTATAATATTAATGTTCAATACTTTTTAATTAAAAAAATAAATTCGAAATATATAAAAAGCAAGAATATTAAGTTTTTAGAAAAAAATTATTTTATTTTAAAACATTTCAAATAAAATATGACGAGGAAGTAAAAAAGAGTTTTCGAACATTTTCAATTGTTTTAAAAGGAGTAATCTTTTGGTTCCTAAATATATATTAATTTTTTTATTTTCATGAAAATTAAAAAATTAACTTTTATGTGGTTGATATTAAAATTTTATTTTTTTTACAATAAGATGTTCAATGCTTTTTAATATGAAAAATAAAAATTATGAAAATAAATTTATAATAAAAAATTAAGAATATTAAGTATTTAAAAAATTATTTTATTTTAATATATCCCCTAAAAAAATATATTAAAGAAAAGCATAATATTTTTAAAAACTTAATAAATCATTAAAAAAATTCAAATAAATCTTTATTATTCTATTATATATAATTAATTTTTTATATTTTTATTTTATGTTGTTAGTCGAAATGATAATATGTCACAGCTCAAAACTTAAAATTTAACTTTGTGTGAAATTTTAAAAATAAAATTTAAATAAATTTATAAATTACGAACTCATATTTTTAATAAAAAAACACGCTTGATAGGTGGTGGAGGACTTATATTTATATATCTAAGACTCACCTTATCTTTTAGAAATGTGTGATTTGTGACATTATACTCTCAATTCTACAAAACCCTTGTTGCATTGATTCTTTATTTATAGAGGACAGAAACTCTTACATTAATTTAGATTTACCTCGACTTTTGTATCTTTTGTGAAAATCTCATATCAGTGAAGATCAGGTTTATTAAGATATTAAATGTCACAGGTCAAAATTTAAGCTCAACCTCTATCAAATGTCACACGTTAAAACTTAAAATAAATAACAAATTTATATTCTCAACTCAAAAAATATACCTGATAAGTGATGGAAAACTTATATTTACATATTCAAAACTCACCCTATTAAAATATTCGTGATATAAGGAGAATATAAAAAAATTCAAATTTAAAACAGATTCGAAATTACAAGATAGTACTTGCAGTTAAATGATCATATTGTCTAGGCAATTATCATAATTTATGATGCTGATAGAAATTATTAGTATTTGTAGTACACAATTTGTTAAAAGAAATTTTCTCTAAAAAGTAATTTTTTATATATATATTTTAGAAGTTTTAGGGTTTAGGGTGAGGATCTAAAACATATATTTTTTATTATATAGTATTTCGACATTATTAAGAAAAAGAAACACATCATCATTTTAATGCAGGAAAACAATAGGAGAATAGTTTGATGAGTCCACTCTCCAACGAATTAAATTTGGCAAATGAATATTTGAATTAAATGTGTGTAATCAAAAGACATCTCAACCATTTTCATAAATCATTTTCTATGTATAACGTGAAAAAAAATATTCATGCAATATTTATCAAAATATTTATTTTTGTATTCAAATAAAGGTAAGCAAATGATCAGATTGATTAATTCAATTAGAGAATTTTTATACTTGAATTAATCAAAATATTTATTTAAAAATGAATCAAAATGATTGCAAATTAAGTATTAATCAATTAACTCAATCAGTATTTGAGTATTTAACTCATTAGTTAGTGCATGATCTCTTCAAATCTTCTTCTCAATTAAAAAAACCAATTAACTTAATAAAAATAGAAAAATAATAACAATCTTCTTATTTTTTTTAAAAAAATGACCATATTTTATAGCACAAAAGAATTGATATCGCTGTAAATTTCATATTTTCTCTCTAAAATTCTCTTTCGCTTAGAAAGACCCCAACTTTTCACCAAAAAATTAAAAAAAAAACAATAGATTTGATCTATTATTTTAAATAAAGTGATTATTTTGAACATTATCCTCATTAGTAATATATAAATTCTATGTTGTAAGCTAATTACATGCTTAGCCTATTATAGTATGTTTATAAGTTTGGTTTCAAAATGGTTAAAAATAATTAGTAGTATTAAGTTTAATTAATAAAACTATTATTTTTATCGAGTCTTGAATTTTTAATTTTCCTCATTATTAGTTAAGATAGCGACATGTGATTTTGCTTATGACATATAATTAAATGAAGGATAATAAGATACTTTCGTTGTTTGAATGAATAAAAATTATTTATTTTTAATTTAACATAAAATGATCATAAATAAAAAAATCTTATAAGCACAAATTTATCAGGCCATGTTTTGCTCCTGTTTTTTACCGATTTCCACCCAATTATCCTGATCTCTTGCTTACACGTACGACCTATACCCTTCTAAAACCCTGACCAGAAACCGTAAACCAAACCCATTTTCGAGAGCCTGAAAACAGTCCGCAAACCAACCATGAACGACGAGCACATGTCCATCATACCCCATATCAACGCGAACCCAGAGAGTTTCAGAACTTTCACAGTGAATTTCTTCTCAGAAACCATTAGCACCACAGTAACCGCCACTCCCTCGGTTGTTCGCAAATGGATCTTCAGAGCCCTCAGTCTCCACCGTTTCCGCCGCGACACACTAGTCGTCGGCCTTGGGGTCCAATGGACCCCTACCTTTTCCAGAGACCGTGCTCCAGCAGCCACTCTCCAGCTTTGCGTTGGACGTCAATGCCTCATCTTCCAGCTCCAGCATGCAACTCGCGTGCCCCAAGCTCTCCGCCGCTTCCTGTCTGATCCCCGTACTACTTTCGTCGGCGTTTGGAACTACCATGATGAGGACATGCTGATGAGGTCGAATCATATGCTTACCGTTATGAGGATCGTTGATGCTCGTGATGTTGCTGCTGACAGATGCGGGTTGAGTAAGCAGTTGTCTATGGAGACGTTGGCTGGGGTACTTTTGGGTGCTCGTGGGGTTAGGAAGCCTAGAGAAGTTGGGCTAGTGATTGGGGTGCTTATTGGCTTTCTCCAGAGCAGGTCCAGTATGCTTGTGTTGATGCTTTTGTCAGCTCTGAATTGGGAAAGGCATTGAACGTTTGGAATTGGGAGAACTGAGGAGTGAAGGTTTAGGTGTCATTGCTTCAATGGCTGGTTAGAATGGGTTTTGTTTTTCAGGATATATATGCTTAAAACACGTTTACTTTTGTTCCATGGATATGGATTTTATATGCTAATGCCGTACAGTTTCAAACTTATGTGATCTCTTTTGTTGCTGATAAATGCTTAGTTCTTTTATATCTGAGAAAATGTTGCTGCCTCGGAATGCCATTAAGTTTTGTTGTGTGATTGATCATTTTGCTAAAGTCTCTGTTCCCTCCGTCCTAGAGAAATTTGTGTTGCTGTGATGCAAGTGAACTGAAATCATGGAGATTAATTCTTCTTTCCGACATGGATCTTTGGTGTTGAATTATAATTCAGTTGTTTGATGCTAGATATAGATCTTTTTCCTGGCTTTCAACCAACCCCAGTTTCTTTTCTTGTTAAAAGAAAAAAAAAGGAGTTATATTAAGTAAGTAGCTCTCCTCTTTGAGTTGTTTTTCCATTTAGGGTTTAGTTGAGAGAGCTGAGGTTTGATCCTTCTTCTTTACATGGTATGACATTAATAGTGCCTTGCTTGAGATAGACCTTAGTGTTTATGCATCAAGTGTGTTTGACCAAAGCTTGTATCGAGGAGGTCAAGGGGTAGCTCTAGCATTATAAACGGCTTGTTCATTGGTGAACTTGCTTTATCCCAACCCTTGCTTAGAGCTTCTGCTTGTTCTAAATTCATGGTTGGAACTTGTACCTCTATTATATCTACTGTGATGCTCCTGGTGTATGCTTATTTTACTTTTTGAGTGATAGCTCCAGTTAATCAACTATTAGTATTATCTCTGCAAAATTGACTGATTGCCTTCCCTCGATACAACAAGCAGGATGCTAATTCAGGCCTCTGCTTTAAGTCACTGCTAGTTTAATGTGTTTTACTTTATGATCCTGGAAAAGGGCTTACATATGATTGATTTGTCTTGTCTTGGTGCGCTCTCAATTTGGTTGCATCACCTTTGAAGTTTTGCAAGTGCTTGATTCATGCTTAATTTACCATATTAATACTTTCATTGAATCTCTGCTTCATGTAGCCCAGGGAAATTTCTGTTTTTCTTATGATGTTTGTTGAATCAAATTTCTTTTCTTTGGAGTTCATCATGTACTGCTCAAATTGCTGAATGTTGTATTTGCAGTGTTTGAGGTCATTAATATCATATTCATACTGGTTTTTATTTGACTTGTGTATTGATTCAGTCTTCTATAGTGTTCATTACAGGGTCAGCCTTTATCTCCATTTTAGATGTTGGTGATCTTAATACAAAGAAAATGTTAAACCCCCTTTTTTCTTCTTTGATTTTATAAACATATTTGGAGGAAATCTTAATTTTCGGAGTAAGAAATCATGCATTAACTTATTGAATTAAATGCTCGGATGCAATTATCTTTTTTAATATTTGCTACTTCATTGAAATTTCAATAAAAATGAAATATCATATGTTAAAACTTAAAATATAGACTCTTTTTTTTCTAATTCGTTAAAAAGAATAAAAAATCTTCTATTTCACTTGATAATCTGTTTGCTATATCTTTCATAATTTTACGTTACGCCTCTAATCTTATACTATTGATAGCTAAATTAAAACCTTTGACAATGAAAAACAAATAATTTAAAATAAGAAATTTATTAGACACGTGACGAAAATTTTACTTGATAGGAATCATATGATAATATGAAAATGGAAGAGTCTTAGTTGGTGTCTCATGAGCTGAGCCTATGTGGGGTAGCCCACAGAACAGTCCAAGATTGAAATGGGCTATGGCAGTACTGTGAGAAAGTAAACCCAAACGTATAAAGCCCAGTCACATCTACATACGGTGTGCCCCCCACCCTTGGAAACTCCAACCGAAATTTTCTGCACTTGCCATCTTCTCTCTTTCCTTACTCATTTTCCTTTCTTTTATTTTCTTTTCCAAACACTGTAAAATTCAAATTCAGGGATTCGACTTTCGAGTTTGAACTAAACATTCAGCAAAGCTGGATAGGTACAGGGGCGACCGCTATGGCAACAGCAACAACAATAGTAACAACCAAGAATCTTACTACAATAACAACAACAACAACAACAACCGTCACTCTCGAGGCCCCTCGCGTTTCTCTGACGCGCCTCCCATGAACCGCTACGGCGGAAAAAACAGCAACAACAACAACAACAACAACAACAGTAATTTCGACGACAAGTTCGATAACCAAGATTTCTATCATCACCGTCGTCGTAGCCCTAGCAACTTCCGTGGCAGTGGAGGAGGAGGAGGAGGGCATCGCCTGTTCGACAGTCCTCCTCGTCAGCATCACGGTGGCGGAGGAGGAGGTTTTCGGCCAATGGGTGGTGGTGGTGATGGTGGGGGAGAGTTTCGGCCTATGGGTGGGGGTTTTGAGGGTAATTATCCATCTCCTCCGCCGCAGCAACCTCATACGGGACAGAAACGCGCGTATCCTTTCTCTGGCCGTGGAGGAGGTTCTCCCAATAGAGGTCCGTTTTATTGCTTATATTTTTATGTTATATATTTTTCCATTGTAATTTTTCACTTATCTGCTGCTTGAACTATTGTGTAATTCGTTAATTCGAAAATTTTTGGTGATTTCCTTTGCATTTATTTCAACTTGCTGAATTTTCTTTTTGCAAAGAATTTACCATGTGCTCCTTATTTACTGCAGTTTTCTTGTTCCATGGCTGCATGGATTTTTTTCAGCTACAGATTATTTTGTCTTGAATTGTCATAGCTTTGATTTTAGTATTCGAATTTTACTTTCCTTTACTAGTTTCTGACCATTGTAATTGCATCTTAACATCATAGCTTACATTTCTTATAGACTGATTATCCTTTATATTTTGCTTTGCCAGATCGATTTGGTGGAGGTGGCGGCAATTTTGCCAAACTTTTTGTGGGATCTGTACCAAGGGGAGCCACTGAAGAGGATGTAAGTCAGTTCATTATTGCCTCGTACTTTTGAAACTATCACACTCCTGTTTGTACTCTCTTTTATGCTACCAGAGATGTAATTCAATTCACTTATTCATCTGATGGATGTCGATTCCATATATTGAATAAATACCATTCTAAGCATTAATATCATGTAATCTTTTTGTTTTGGTATTATTTCTTAAACAGTGGTCATTTATTCTCACTTGTCAGATTCGGCCCTTATTTGAAGAACATGGAAATGTGATAGAGGTTGCTTTAATCAAAGATAAAAAAACTGGACAACCCCAAGGTATGTATGAATGTTGTTTTATTGTTAGATATATGTTATTATACCTATCTTATTTCAGGTCCGCTGAGAGGCTGATAGGAGCAAACTTAAGCTCATCTTCGTCTCAGTTGTTTTTGAGACAAGTTTCGGGCTTGTTGGTTTTGGTTGCCACCTCCCTTTCTTAATGTTGATTCTGTCAAACAAGGAGAGAAATGTAAACTTGCTAAAAACTGGTTTATGTATAGAAAGACTATGGAATTTGTACCACTAGTAGATCCTATTTTCGAAATAATGGATTCTGTTGTGGGGGCATTAGCCAACAATAGATTTTCATGAGAGTGTCTGTTGCCATTGCTATATATATCAGGACTTACTACTGTTGTACAGATATAAAAGCAAGAAATCCTATGATTATTGCTGTTGAATGGTGTATGTCACATTTTTATTTGGATGATTTCCGTGGTTGCTTGTTATCTCGGCAAATTTGGAAATTCTTCTTTTTAAATGGGTTGGCAATGTCTGTGGACCAGTTTTATGTTGCTGAGATGGATTCAAGTTGGATGTTTCTCGGATATGGATGGTATTGTAGTTTTATGTGTTGAAGGTTCCTTGGTTATATGCTCCATTGAAGTTATGCGCAACATTACAGACGTCAAATTTTTGTGGGATTGTTATATTTGCGTGGAAACTGGTTGGTTTAATTAACTTTTTTAATAGGTTGGATGGCCTGTCTATTTTGGTGGCAGGCTTATGTTTGTATATATGCTTTTAATGTTGCAAAAAATTTGGGAGTTTTTCTTTGTTTGCGATCAAAACTAGTTGGTGATACCACTGTATTGTGTGACTTTGATCTGGTGTAGCAATTCTTACCATTGTTTGTTTAATTGATGGGTTTAGATTTCAGCAAATTTGTGTTTATACTCTAGGCTGGCTTTTTGGTCAATTTTTAATTTCCACAAACGTTTGCAATATAGTAATGGGTTGCATAGGTTTTATCTGTAGATGTTTATTTTATTCTGCCTATTATGTCCTGTTGGAAGTCTAAAGGCTGTCTGGATGTCAATTTTGGATGCTTCTTGGTGTGTATTCTTTATTTCTCATGGTTATTACATTGTTAGTGCTGGCCTCTTATTCTAGAGATTGTGAATGCTGATAAATTTTTCTGTATGAGAGAGCTTATTGTTTTATCATACTTTAATTGTTGTTTTGAATGTGGAAGTTGTAATGTGCATGGAGCAATGGATGTGGTTGAGTGTAATCTTGAGGGCTATTGACCATTTTCAGCAAATCGCTGCTTCAGTTGTACAATGGATGTTACCAGATGATTTTAGAATTTGTTGCTCCACGAATTGAGTCCGTGATGACTTGTGTGATGTCTTGGTACTTTTTATCTTTGTTGATGGTGTACTTTACTGATTTCTTGTGGCAAAGGGGTGACATGGCCTGATAACCTTTTACTTTTATAGCACCAATAGTTGTGTTTCTCCCATTAAGTGTTTCTGAACTAAGGGTGTTTGTGTGGTTACCTTGCCCCAAATATATATGGTAGATCTTTTGTGAGCATGGTTGTTTATGTGACCAAGCTAACCAATCAATGAGAGTGGTTGTATTACCATCAAACTTGGAGGTTTTGGATGCTAGGATTGTACAGCATTGTTAGCTGAAATTGTTGTTTCCCAACTTTCAGATGGCTTGGTGAAACATTTCTGTTTTTCTGTTTATGGCTGGTCAGTGCAATATAGCTTTGATGATAATTTTTTATGGAAATGTCCGATTGAATTTTCCACTTGCATTTCATTGTGTTTAGTATTCAGCCTTGTTTCTTAGCCATTCTTTGTCCATGTATTCTTTTTGCACCTTGTCTTTGGTTTATAATTCATTGTTGTGGTCAGCCAAGACAGATGTGTTTGTACATTCTTGAGAGAGAACTATGGTTAGAACTTCCGATTCTCTTGAGAATTATTCGTAAATTTGGTCAGAGTTTCATTTTGTTTTATGGGATATTGGTGAGGAGTTGATGTTTTCTCTGAGTGTATATATTCATGAATGCATGGTAAGTGAAGGTAGCAATACAACAATTATGCTTTCTTGGCCTGGAATTTTACATGTTTGTGGTTTTGATGTGAATTAAGCTTATTAACTTATTTCAACGCCAAAGCATCAACACAGCAATGAATTTTGGGTAGAATTATTGAAATTGAACTTGATTTCTAGTTCTTGTCATGTGAGAATTTTATGTTTGATGAACCATTTTCATTCTTGAGAAGCATGTGGAGATGCTGAAATGTGAAATCCTTTTCTTTGGCATGAAACTTTCAACTGCAAGTCTACAACTGATGGTTTCTAGGGTAATTGTTACATCTGTTCTTGAATGAGTTAATACTGTAAAAGAGATGGATGTCTTATTTGCACAGCAAGATTAGTGCTGTTCATTATCTCTTATCTTGCCATTTGCTTAGTCATTCTATGTTATTTGCTTAACTAGATTGCTAGAAGAGATATGCTGAGAGATTTTTAATGCATGAAGCTGGAAGAAAGTCATTAGGGAGAGGTATAAAATGCTGTTCATTAGTTCTAGGGTAATGGAAGCCTAGATACCTGTCGTGCTTGGTGCTATTGCTTTGCACATTGTCTATCTTATTTGGGGCTTGTTGGGAGGGAAGGATGTAGTGTGGCATATTCTCATGTGTTCTTAATGTTAGTGACAAGTAGTTGTTTCTGTAGAGTTTTGACTCTGTCTTCATGTGCATGTGCCTGGTGCTGATGCCCTCTATGTTATATATTTGGGGCTGATTGGAAGAGAGGTAGAGTTAAGATTGGAATATTCTTATGTGTTGTAAATGTTAATGACAAGCAATTCTTTTTGGCGTGTTTGACTTGGCTTGCATGTCTTGAAGCTATGGTAAAAGGAAAAGAGAGGAAAATGTAATATGATATCTGGGGTCTTGCCTTGCCGATTTTCTTTATAGTGTGATAACTCCTTGCTCCATGTGCCCCTAGAATTCTGTTTGTAAGCATTTGTGGTGCTTATTTTCATGGCTTGTTGATGCTGTTCACCTTCAAGCTTATTAGATAGATACTATTTATTTATGTTCTTTTGGTCCCCTCTTATTTGCCAGGGAATTTCTGTATGTTCTTTGGTTTTATCTGGATTTACTGCATGGATTTAAATTTGTGATGACTGGCACGATTTTGCTCATGGGTCTCTGTGTCGAGGGTAGCAAACAGTTGGTTGATAGTTGTGTGATTGAAAGCTTTTTCATTTTATAGATTTGCATCATTTCCTGTAATGGTAGTAGGCTGTGGAGATGGTGTTATTTGCTGATGAAGAGAACCGTGCCCTGTTGTTGATATTGGTGTCTGTATCCATAAATGTTATCCACATATGAAAGGAACAACTTTTCTGTGTTGCAATGTGCCTGCTCTCTTCTTTCTTGTCTTAAAAATGCATTATATTTTGTTGAAAGCTCATTATGATTTACTAACATACTTCTCTTAAAGAACTGTCAGGTTTAATCCATCATTCGATTTTTGCTTTCATATTACTACCTAGATCAACCATGTTCTCTATATGATTTTTGTGGTAGGGATGTTATGCAAATTTAGATATTTGTGCATGTGCTCTGCCTTGTCTGAGATACAAATGATTTAGTTGAAGATATTTCTCTTTTGAACTTTATGATTATAGTGGTTGACATTTGTTTTATTTTGTGTTATTTGTGCTAAACGAAAATAGATTATCTGTTTATATTAAGTCTCTGTATTTGAGTCGTGGATTTTTTATGGTAATAATATAGATGTTTTGGATCCTTTTTATTCCCTTTTAGTTACATTCATATGCGTCTTTAACAGCATATCTCCATGACATGTATTTTACTGTCTCATGAGTTTTTGTGTGTCTACCCTTCTGAACCATTTCTGGGGGTGTAAGTGGCCTAACCAAATCAGAATTAAAACTCTACGGTTGTGCAGGATGTTGTTTTATAAAATATGCAACCTTAGAAGAAGCAGATAGGGCTATTAGAGCCTTGCACAATCAACATACTCTGCCTGGGGTGAGGTCTTTTGCCACTTCTATTTTTTGTTTATATATATAACTGAAATGGTTTTACATTCTCATATAAGTGAAATAGTTTTACATTTTCATATGCGTATTTACAGGGAATGGGTCCTATCCAAGTCAGATATGCTGATGGGGAACGAGAGCGCCTTGGTAATTATTTTACATATTTGTAGGTCTTTGAAGCTTGATCTGTAATTTACATGTGTGAATCTGTGTTAATATAAGATCTTTTTGGTTTATTAGATGCAGTATTTCTCCAATTTACCCTTTTCTTTTTTGATTCCCATTAATTTTAGACTGGAGGGGCATGTTATCCTTCTTGAGAGAGGCACATGTGTCAAATAGCAGTCTTTCCAAAGCCTAGACGTGTTTATGCATGTGTCTCTCATATATTGCACTGTCCAAGCATATTTGTGTTTATTGTTGAATTCATGTCTCATAATTGAAACTCCAAAGGATTGAAGAAAATGAACATTAAGTAGGAAAGAAAACTAGTGGACATGATCTGTTAGATATATTACAAACAATATAGTTTCCTATGTGAGCATTAGTAGAAGAATGATTAATGCTTAGTTGGCCCAGATTTGAAGAATAAAGCACTCCATTGACAGAAATCTCTAGACTTATCTGTACCTTCTTCTTTCCTATGTTGTGGTGAATACTTATGTTTGTTATCCTAATATAATCTAATTTTCCCTAACTGATTTTGATTCCTTAATGACAGGTGCAGTGGAGTACAAATTGTTTGTTGGGTCACTCAACAGACAAGCTACTGAAATGGATGTTCAGGAAGTATGTCATATAAACATTTTTTTGTTTAATTCTAATGTCTTTTTCTGATTCTTTTAATCTTCTGGTGCAAAAGATGATTCTTACTTTCAATGACCTTTGGTAGTCTCACTCCAGTTGTCACATATATCTCTAAAATTTTTGTCCTTGTTATTCAGAACTTATGCAACACTTTACATTATTTATTAGTTTATTTTTCTTTTCTGTAGATTATACATTCTGCCAAACTATTAATTGCTGTTTCCTTGGCAGATTTTTTCTCGTTTTGGTCGAGTTGAAGATGTTTACCTCATGCGTGATGAATTGAAGCAGAGTCGTGGTGTGTCCTTGAGTTTGATTTATATGCCATCTTGGATTTGATGAATGCTTTCTGTTTTTGTTTCTTTTGCTATATTATATTATCAAAGATTGTATATTGTAGATAATTTCTGTTCAGTTCTGAAATGTTTATATAAAACCACTATCATTAGATTTTCTCTTTTCATTCCTCATGTATTTACTATTTATTTTGAAGGATGTGGATTTGTTAAATACTCTGATAGAGACATGGCATTAGCAGCTATAGATGCTCTCAATGGAATTTATACAATGAGAGTAAGAATTTTTCTATTTCTTTCTTAATAATCTGTTTACTTATTTTATTATCAAAGGGTATCGATTGATTATCTGTTTTCTACATCGTAGGGTTGTGATCAACCATTAACTGTCCGTTTTGCTGATCCCAAGAGGCCCAGGCCTGGAGCTGGAGACTCAAGGTTTTTCCTAAGACATGTTATTATTCTTTCCTTTATGTGCTAGCTTGTACACTTGAAACTGGGATATGAATGGGTGGTTAGCTGTAGGGTGTTTCTTTTGTTGAAGCTTGAGTTAGACACTTTCTTACCCTTCATTTTGGATGAAACTTGATTGTGTATCTGTTTGTGGGTTCATCCTATAATTTCTGTTGCCTCTGGCATATGTTACTGATTGATTGAATTAACTGTACCCTGTTTTTAACTTGCTTTCCTTTCCAGGGGTGGTGCTCCTACATTTGGAGGTCCAGGTTTTGGTCCTCGTTTCCCGGCACCAGGGCCTAGGTACATTCAACCATTTTAACATGTTGCGGCATAGTCTAATGCATTTTAGCTGTCTCCTTATTTCATTTGGCTTATTTTTCTGCGCTTATGTTTTCATGTTAACCGCTCAGACCAGCACCCAACTTCGGTGATGCAATGGGGGATAATGTTCCACCTAATCCTTGGCACCCTATGAGTCCACAGAATATGGGACCAACTCCTGGTATTCGCAGTATGGGGAGTCAGTTGCTCCCTAGGTCTGGTGACTTAGCAATACCTTTAAATCCAGTAAGAATAATTGTTCTATGGCACACTTTTAGTTTTTCAAATGCAACTGTATTAATCAGCGATATTCCTTTTTGATGGTAAGTGGTAACATATTGTGTGGATGCAATGCTGAAGTCTACTTTTTAGGGTTGATTTCTACATTTTATTTTTTATGGTTAAGCTGGCAAATTGTTTTGCCTAATAAAGCAAAGATTCTTTCATAAAAGTGTAGATAACCAAATTGCATTTACTGTAAGTTGGGTACTCTGTTAATTGGAGCCTGAGGTCTTTAAATTGTGGTCATATTCTCTTTATTTTTATCCTATTAGGTCTTTCAGCTTTGCCTTTTTGTAAGCTTTAAGTTATGATTTTCATGTTGTGTGGAAATTTTTGTTTATAATTTTATTTTACATGCAAATTCTTGCTTATTATCCTTGTGAACACTCTAGGGTGGTCCTTTCGGTGGCCCTTCAGATGGTTCTTTTCCTGGCCCTGCAGTTTCATCTTCTTCTACTTCACAACAGGTTTGTGAAAATTGAATATGTTTATGATGCTTTCATCCTCTTCATGTTCTAGATTGAATTAGGTTTTTTCCTTTCAGGGATTTAATCAACCTTCACCACAAGTTCCGACAGTAGGTCAGCAAATTTCACCTTTACAGAAGCCTCTTCAATCACCTCAGGGTCTACCTCCCTCATTTCAACTACACCCTCTAGCACCGGTGTCATACTCACAGTCACAGGCATTGCATGTTGGTCAACTACATGTTCCTGTTTCTGCTACTCAGTCACCCTTCAGTCAAGCTCCTCCCTCACAACATTTAGTTAGTTTGAGTGGCCAGTTGCCTGCTTCTCGGCCTCAGATGCAGCAGAATGCTTCATCTGCTGCAGCGCTACAAAACCCTTTGAGTGTCAACTTACCCCCCAATTTACAGCCCAACTCTGTACCCACTACAGCAAATCAACAACAGTTGCCTGTTCCTATGCAGCAGCAACTGCTGCAACCACTTCAGCAGTCCCCTTCTCAGCTAGCTCAGATGCTTTCTCAGCAAACACAAACATTGCAAGCAAGCTTTCAATCATCTCAGCAGGCATTTTCCCAGCTGCAGCAACAATTGCAGCTGATGCAACCTTCAAATCAAAATATGACGTCGCAACAGAATTCACAGGCTTCTAAACAGCAGGTATGTGGGGCCATGATGGCTGGGTTAATACAGGACCTCTGATATTATTGCACAGAGGTAATAGAAATTGGAACTTACCAAATTGTTTTTCGGGAAAAAACAAGGGATCCATTTCATGATTCATAATTTTTTTGTTTTGGTTTCTGAAAAAGATTTCTGCAGATAAAAAAAATTAAGGATTTTAAATGCCCTTCTAATCATTGGATCCTAATTCTCCTCAATGTGTGCCTCACATCTTGACATCGATGTGCCTTTCACATCTTTAGTACCTGAACTGCTATCTTCCCCTTTTAAATTTTTCTTGGTGGTGAACAAGTTTATTTTTGTAATGTCATCTGCTTGTGAAGTGCTGTAATTATAATATGCTGATAATTTTGCATGGTGCGCTCTCAGTGGGCTGGGATGACACCACAGACTGCTGGCAGCACTCCTGCTAGTACACCTAGTACAGATGTCCCTTCATCTGCATCTGCTCCTGCTGCACCTGTTATGACACCGACAGTAACTCCGGGGGAATGTCATTGGACAGAGCATACTTCTCCTGATGGATTCAAATACTATCATAATAGTCTAACACGTGAAAGCAGGGTGAGACATATATTTGAGACTTGGTTGAGTGTTCGGGACTTTGCTTTAATTAGTTAATTCTCATGTGGTATGATGAATTTATTCTGTATCTACATGCAGTGGGAGAAGCCTGAAGAATTGGCTTTGTTTGAACAACGGCAACAACAACAACAAAAGCCACCTGTTCAACAGCCTCAAACTCAGTCACACCCTCCTCAGCAAGCTTCACAAGCACAACAAGTGCAGCTTCAGACCCAGCTTCAAACACAGATCCACCATCCTCCACAGTTACAGCAACCCTTTTTTCCTTCAGCGGTCAGTTGTTTACATTTTTTAATTAAACATAAGTTTTATTGTCTTTAAAATTTTAGATGTGCCATTTCTAACTCTCTTTTGCGGAAGTCCAGTACTCAGCTTCTGGAGTTAGAAATCAACAAAATACACAGGTAAATTTTATATTAACATCCCAGCCAAATAAAAAGAAAACCTCAATACTCGTTCTATCTTTAAGATATGTTTTCAGTCCACACTTTGTTCATTAGTTGTCATGAAATTGTTTTTGCAATGATATTGCACATATTTTGTTTTGCAAGGGATTTGAGTTCACATTTTTTTAGCAGTATATTGTTTCATAAGATCTCGTATTCTTTTGCATCTTTGAATTTTACAGGAACTTGGTTATGGACAATTACCAGTTGCACCATCACCCAATAATCCAACACGCTTCCAACAGGTATAAAGTGTTGTAATTTTCATTTATTCCAAGCTACTTTTCACCAACACTTCATTTCTTTGGTCTTTTTGCTGCAGGGGCTTCAGACTCTGCAGGATTTGGCATGGAAGAATAAGCCATAAGGTTTTAAAGTTTGCTAGATTTTCTGTTACCCCTTTTATCCTTGGATGGTTGGGCACTCCAGGCCTTTGGTTCTACTTGTTTGCCCAGAAATTAGAATAGAAAGTAAAATTAGAGAAATGAAAATGTATAGAGAACATTTTCGTACTTGTTGTATGTAGTTTGGTTTACACCAGCAGAAATCATCTAAATGAGATGACCTACTGTCCAGATATTTAGGCATTATCTGTCATAAGTTGAAGCTTTTTTCTTGTTATGTATTGCGTATCATCGATCATTTATTCACATTTGCTCTAATGGGAGAATACTTCATCTCCAGGAATATAAACTGGAAAGCTGAGGTGAGCCTGCTGATGGGAAACTAGTTTCCTCTTGGAGAATGCTGGTGACGAAAATAACCGTTAGTGATGACAAGGTCATGGATGCAGCAGCAAACTGCTTGAGGCTCAAATGCCAGAAAGCAGATGTGTAATAGTAGCTTTTAGCCCTCTTCCTCAGCAGTAGTCAATAGTTTTATCTTTTCATAAATATAAATGGGAAGGCCTTTGCTTCCTGCTGTTACTGGCATTTTGAGCTTCTGTGCCATTAAAATTAGGGCAATCAATGCCATCAACTCTGTAATAGCATTTGTATTTGTGTAACATAATATTAGTGGCCATAATCAGATGCTTAGATTAGAGCTTTGCTTTTGCTCCAAATTAGCACACCCTTTTTAAAATTCTACGAGGATGAAAGATAGGAACTCCTGAGTTAAATTCCTGATAGATTTTTACGAATCTGGGGAAGGGTTTCCAGGGTTTAATTGGACTGAATGCTAAGGTTACTAGTGACAACAGTGACAAACATGGAAGTAGAAGCCTAACTACCATAACTTTCTAGGCAATCGAAGTTCATTAGTTCACGATCCTGCAATTCCTACGAATCTCGCCTTCATTCCCAGTTAGTGCCCCTAAGCTTCCCATTTTCAACATAGAATTCTTGAAATCCTCGAAGAAAGCCAAAGGGTCCTCAGCATAGGAGAGTACAAGCTGGCGAGTTTGGTAATCCTGAGTGACTAAGGCCTGGTCGGACGGTAGCAATCCCTCACCAGAAAGAAGGTTAACGTAGTACTGGTTGTCGAATGTTGCTGGGGTCGCTAGATCGAGATGTGCAAGCTTGGTGTTGCTGTCTGATTCCGAGCACAACTGCTGCAGAGTTTCGAGGAAATCCAGATTGATGTCTGGACCGTTTAAGCCGTGAAGTCTTGAGCTGAACGTGGAGCATCGAGCCATTCCCATTGTGTGTGCACCTGTCCGTAGTGTCCAATATTGAATGGTTTTCTCAGAAAGCTTTTAAAAAGAAGTTTTAAAATGCAAAATGTTGATCAATGCTTCGAAATCATCACCGGAGAGGGCAACCATGTCATTGAACGAGAGCCCAACGTTCTGAAACTTGGCAACCAGTGTTGGCACGGTGGAATTTGGGCCTGGAATGTTGTTTATGGCTGCTGCTTTGCTAGCAACCAAGCTGTCCTTCCTGCCCATCTCGACTTCCCAACTAGGACCCCCTGCCTGCAAATCCGAATTTCTCATTCTAACAGAACTTGGCACAAGTTTTACTGCTACTTCATATGGGAGAAATCAGAAGCATTTACTTACTAGAACGACGGAGTCCCTGGCAACCGTTGCAAGAATATCAGCACAAGAAACAGTTCCAGGGCAAACAGACTCAAGCTCAGCTTTAATGGCATCGATCACTTCGAACCCCCTCAGAGAATTCAAGTTTGGTGGTGCAGTTTTCTCACCGATGAAATCCTCAGTATCATCCAATAACACTGAAGCATCACAGCCCTGCAAAACCCACATCCTGGATTATGTTTACAAGATTGTCTAAAAAGAGAGATTAACAAAACAAATAAACTCTGGTGTAAAAGATTGACTACTTGCATTAACAAAGCAATCATGGAAATGAAGACGAAGCAGCGAAGCTGCCATCCTGGAGTCCTGGGATACCGCATTTTGAACCCAAGAGAAGATGATGGGTTCTGCATCTGGGCAGCTGTTCTTATACAAGTTAATCTGCAGCACGATATCAATGTCATCGAGACATGTTTCGTTCAGGGTGTTTGGCACATTAGCAAATGCGATGGAAAGCTTCAGCATCACCAAACAGAAAGCTAAGTGCTTGGCCATCTTCTACTCTATAGATGGTGGAACTGTAAGTGAAGATGATTTCTTTATATAAGATTGTTGTTTGAGAGTAAGGGAGCAATGGAGAGCTTCCAAGCCGATGGGGTGGTTAAGTGAAGAAGCAGTCAAGCCATGGAATAGGTCAAGTTTATGTCTCGTCATGAGAAACGCATATATACCGAACGCCATGTGCTGCTTGAAGCTTTTGAAGGATAACAGAAAGAGTGCAATCTGCCATTGTTGTATTTTTGCTGACAGAGAGAGTGGTTAGTGCCTATTGGTGGTTTGGATACCCTACCACTGTGTGCGAAGTGAGAAGGTTAATTAATTCCATCATATTTTCGGTAAAATATTTGTATATCAAACATTGTAATCATATCTTCTTGAGATTTTAATTGGTACTTTCCTGTTAAAATTTGGGTGAGCTTCGGCTGTTGTATTGAAAGGACTGATCCAAAACACAGGAATTGATGCACTTGGCCCTCTTTTTTTTTTTCAAAACTGTTAGAAAACAAGATCGGAAAAATAAAGATGATATCTGAAATCTACTCTAATCTGAAACGAGTATTAAAAATTTTATTTAAATTGATTTTAGATCCGAACATAAAATATTCAAACCTTATATGATCAGGTTAGATATCTACAAATACCCATATAAAATTACCTGGTTTACATCCTTACGGAAAAGTTGTTTCTTGCTTTTCAGGCCCCATTCATGTCCACAAAAGCAGGACTTGCAGGAGGTCCAACAAGAGAAAGGTCCTACAGAACACTACACAACGCCGCCCATGAAGTGTTGCTCACCTTTTGATCCTGAAAATTGATCCTCGGACAATTCTAGCACAGAATCTATGTGCTCCAAATTCAACAAAGACAACTTTATTCTTCTCAATTATTATTTCTTTTTAAATTGAATGACAAGATTTTGATTTTGAACCTCATCTACATAAACATAATGCCCTCCCCGGATGCCTTCATTACTTTACGTATACTTATCCATCCTTTTCGGTCAATTTATCGAAATTAGTTCATGGAGACATAACCTAATTTCTAATCATATTTTTTCTCCGATAATATTTGCATTCAAATTTTTCTCTCGAAGCTAATTTTCTCGGAAAAAGAATTAGGGTTAAGGAAGATGAGGCCCAAAAAAAAAAGGGGGGGATAGGGATGATCGATTCACCATATAAACACTCTTGGTTGTTTAGTTCATTTCTGGCCGGACATATATAGGCTTGATTAGGCTTATAATTGTAAGCTTTTTCTCTCTCATTTTCCTGATTAATTTGCATCTACACCCAATATGCTTTTTAATGTATTATCATATAGTTGAAATATCAGCTTCCTGTTTCACTTTGAATGTACCAACTAAGTAGGTGCTAAAATTATATAGAAAGAATATTTTCAAGATTATTTCTCAATTAGGTCATAGTATAGAAATTAATTTTGTATGGCTTTCTGATATTTTATTTAAACCAAAAACAATTTCTTAATTGAATTAAGCTAAGAATCTCATATAAATCTAGGAAAGTGACCTGACCTAACTTTGCAGCATAGATGTAAGACAGCTGATGGATATCATTTCTATAAAGGCATTTGATCAGTCTAATTATTATTATTGTTGAAGATAACTATGAGAGCTTCTTCTTCTTCTTCCTTTTTTTTTTTTTTGGGTTTTTTTTTTTTAAGAAAGATTGTGATGTCAACAGCAACTCTATCTTTCTTTTTTTCTTAGGAAAAAAACAAGTGTAAGCTTTTCCATCTTTTGAACTTTCCACTTTCCAGCAATGCTTGAGCAAACCCCCTCTTCACCCCACCAATGAAGGAAATGTTCATACCATGGGTTAGGAGGGGAAAAATACAAACAATCTTTATCCCCTCTTCTTCTTCGTGACGTTGAGTGAACTGGTAACCTACCCATGTTTACACTACAGATATCTTCTTTCCAAAGCCATAGTACAACTTCTTCTGTTGGACCGCCAGTTTCTGCAGATCATGTCACACTCACATGGACTGCCCACCTCTCATTCTTTTCATGCACATGGAGGTTCAACTACAATCTTTGAACCCCCTCAGAACGTTTTGCTTTGTGGATCAATGTGAATGATCAATGCAAAGTTAATTTCCCAAATTGCTCAAAAGAATGAAGAACGTATAGAAATGGAAATGCAGGATCTACATTTCCAAGCCAGCTGTTGCATGCAAAATTCTTCCAAAACGGGATCCACCTTAGATGAAGATACTGACAAGACAATTTCGGGAAAAGTTGATCATTCTTTCACGCATCTTATCTTCAAAGTCTTACATGTTTTGTCAATGTAAATCTTGTTTCCAAAGATGGTTCACCCCCAGCTAATGCATGACATTTAGATCTCTGTCCTCATCACTCTCGTGTATATGGTTCCATAGACAAATTTGTGAGTCTTTGTTTTCATGTTGTTTACACCAACAATACTCGAGGCAGCATTCTTGCATATATCAATGAACTCAAGTCCTTAAGGAGTCATCCTAGCTAGTCAAGGTAGGAAATAGATAAGCTCCTCTTGCTGTCTTGGTCGGTCGGTTTCAATTGTCGCCAGAGGCCTGCTGTAGTTACTTAGGTTAAATACCAAAGTTTACTAGTGGAATTCGTAGATTTATTCTCTTTTTTAATTTTCTAGGAAATGCCGGTACCACTATGACAAATTTGATTAGAATTGTGCAATTTAAAATGCACCATTAAAAAAATTTCAATAACATATTTTATAAATTTGATTATACTATACAAAATTTTAATAACATCATAAATAAAATATAACTATAGAGATTAACTACACTAGTAAAAACTGTAATTAAAAATTTAAATAACTATATATAATTTTTAAGATTTCAATGCCTAGAGAAATGTACTTAAAACCCAAATTTGTTGTAATGTGCATGCCTATATATTGAAACTTCCGAGAAGCATACATGCATATAAACTGGTCTTGGCATATGAATATTCTTTTGAGGGATAGCCAAAGGAGCTGATGATAATGCATGCAACTGAAAACTTTCCCAATCTCTATTTGCCATTTCTCCACAAGGGTTTATTCATAAAGTCTCTGCTTTATATCTTGTACGGCCATATATGTGTAAAGCTCAGCATGTTTAGAGGGACTGTACGTTTTCCTAGCTGAGACAGTGCAAAATGGGGGAAAGACTAGTGTGGAACCAGATCCTCGCAAGAAAAAGTTTTCTCAGTACCATCCGCTAATATCTAGAAACATCACTCGGTTTCCTTTTGCGAAATGTTCATATATATACCATTCATTTATTGAACTCCACCTCCTTATCAGTGAATTAGCTTAAAGGGGAAGAAAAAGTCATGGATTCCAAAGGAAAAAAGCCTAATGGGAATGGTTAAAAGGTATTGCTGCATCCTTGTTCCTCCATGCATGTACACCAGGATACACATTTTCTGTTTTTACACTGCCCTCCTCCCATCTTTAGGGTTCTCTTCCTTCGTAGTGTAGGCTTCCCACACCCATTATTCTAGAAAGCACCTTTTCCCATAAAGTTGAAGAATTTTGTATGCATACAAAAAGTTACTAAAAACTAGTGATCTGATGAACATAACGACTTTTCTCGTGAAGGAAAACCCTAACCCTAAAGACCCTTGCTAGCTAATCTATCTCTTTGAAAGAAAGGGTGCACACAGAATGGAAAAGGAAAGGAAGAAAGGATGGGCAAGAAGCAAGAAGAAGAAAAATGGTAAGAGTGAAGCAAAACTGGAAGAAGAATAAAGAAAGAAAAAACCCAATATCTCCATAATTGAATACTCTCTCTACATACAAAGAATAACCACAAGAGAAAAGACCAAGTACAAAACGAGTTATCCGAAGACTAAAAAAAAAAAGGCTAGTGATTTTACACAAATAATATATAAAATGGTGAAGGGAGTTCTTTGTTCTAAAGAAATGAATCCCCTGAGTTAGTTAGAAGAACTACATACCAGCAAGATAAAATTAAAAACCCCATTCTACTGCTCTTCCTTTGCCTCGTTCCTCATCTGGGATGGAACAATATCCTGAAGGAGTCCATGGTCTCGAAGTGATGAAGCTGAAGGAGGAGCGACACGTCTCTCTTGAAGGAAAGCAGGAAACAAGGGATTGATGAAGCTAGAGCTGGTGGTGGTGGCGGTGGTGATATTCAAAGGAGGCGATGAGGTATATATATAGTGTTGTTGCTGATGTAAATACTGAGGTTGTGGGATGATAAAAGATGCAGCAGAAGCAGCACCGAGGGTGGAGGAATCCGGTGAGATTCCGATGCTTCCTCGCGGCGTTATCGGGCAGGGATGCGTGTGCTGCCCTTCGTAAGTAGTGACGACGACCGTGGGATCGTCGGATGATCTCTCCACTCTCTTCTTCACCCCGCACCCTGCAGTGGTGCAACGATAATAGCTCCTGTTGCAATCATCTTATTAAAAAACAAACAACTAAAGTATACCCTTTTTTGGTGATTTGAATTCTTGGGGTGAGATATAATTGAATTAAAAAAGGTAATCATAAGTGGACCAAGATGAGGCGATCTAGATTAGATTTTGATACCTGGGATAAGGGCTGTTTTTCACAGCTTTCTGTCCATACTTTCTCCATCTGTAGCCATCATCGAGGTGATCAACTTCACTCTTAGTCATGAACGCAAATCTCGGCTCTCTTTGCCTTTTTTGGTTCTTCTTTTTGGGTTTCAACCTAAACCCATCACAGAAAAAAACTTTACTTAAAAATTCAGCAAGACAAGTTAAAAAGGTTCCCCCACACTCCCCAAAAATCTAACTCAACATCAGAAATGAAGAAAACCCCATTTAAAAACCCCATCGCTTCTTTCCTTTCTTCACCTTAAACCCTGTACTGAACTAAGCCTATAGCTTATAGACAAGTAAGATGAAGACTCGAGAAAGGCTTACTGTTTCTTTGTCTTCTCTTGATCCTGTTCTTCATCATCCCCGGTTTTTGTTTGCTCATCATTTGCGGCTTCATTCGATGAGGAAGAGATCGAAGAAGAGTTGGGCGTTGCCGGATTGTTTAAAACCTCTGAAGATTCCGGTACGGTGGAAGCCGGCGATGGGAGTCCTTGAAGCTGCTGCTGCTGCTGTATAAGTTGCTTACTTTCCAGTTGTATTTCATGTAATATCTCTTGGTGAAGCTCAGAGGATGATGGTGGAGGTGGAGGTGGTGGTGAAGAAAGAATCGGAGGCTGAAAGGAATCGAATAAAGAAGGAGCAGCAAAATCTTGATGGATACCGAGCAAGTCCATGAAGCCTAAAGTCCCCCACTTATCTCCACCACTACCTTCACATGCTCCTGTTGCCATGTCAAAGATGCCTCCACCATAACCACTTGCAGCCGGATTCTCGTCGGAAAACCTCAAATTTGCCATCGAATTCTCTCTCTGTTCCCCCTCTGGTTTCTTCTTCTCCATAGACTTCACATACTCTCCTCCATTTTTAAACAAAACATAACCCCCTTCTTTCTTTCTTTCTCTTCGCAAAAGTTTAAATCCTTTGCACTACCACCCAAAGAAAAAAATTTAAATAGGAACAAAGCGAGCAAAAAAATAAATAAATATAAAATTAAATTAAATTAAAAATAATTAAAAAAAGAGTGAGAGAATGGGGAGTGTTTGGGTGATGAAGTGTGAATGGACTTTGGGTTGGGAATTTGGAGAACAGCTTGGATTTTTTTTTGGAGAGGCGACCGCCATTTGCCGGTTAATTATGAGTACAGTAAGTGGACGATCGAGGGAGGCCGGTGTTGGCAGCATTTATTGCTCATGGACCGCCCCCTTTCTTTTTGGGTCCACTTTTGCGTACGCGGATTGTTGACTGGTTTAACCGGTCGTGTGTGGACATGGCCGTCTTTTCCTTTTTAATTTCTTTTCGCGGTTCGCCTTTTTAAAATCAATTGTTTTTGTTTCTCCCTTTAAATTAATTGTACATAAGAACCATTATCTCTTTCTTGAAATACCGTTTATGCCCTTAAATTATTATTGATTCATATCTCATTAGTGAATAAAATGTTATTACTTTATTAATAAAATTTTTGAATTTTTATATATTTATGAAATAACTTTATGTGATTAAATAAAAATATATAAATTTTATACATGGATTGTCCCAATTATTAATATTTTAATTATTTTTTAATATTATATTTTATCATCATGAATTCAAGCTTCTCTGTCCTTTTTTTATGACAAATGTTACACGTGTCAATTGCATTTTTAATATTTGAATTATTTAAAAGATATTTTTCATGTGAATTATTTGAATTCACATGTTTTACTATTTGAAAATATCACATATATATAATATATTAAGATTTTAATCGAGAAAGAGGGATCCGAATTATATTTTTTAAATAAGAGATCATATATCAACTAATGAATTAAATATTCAGATACTATATAAATATAATAAAATTTTACATTATTTATATACGACAATTTAATCATTTCTTCTTTATTTGAGAAGTTTGGGCATAAATATGAAGAGTGAAATTAAGCTCTAAAACCCATGGTTAATATTTTATTTTTGGTTGGATCCAAAGTTGTGTTTATGTTTTGGAGAAATGTGGTTTTGACCCTTTGCGAATATTTCTCAATATGAATAAGATTGATTTGATCATTTCCTTGGGATCTTTATCCAAGATTTTGTTCACTCATTTGAAGATCATTTCGTAGAAAGACAATGAGAAAAGATAAAACTAGAAAAACTTTTCAGTCTTACCCCCCATTTGCAAGATATATGCTACTATTAATTCACAAAATCAAATTATTTAATTCCACCCATATCATTGTTACATTCCCTCCATCTAATTTTTTTAAAAATTAAATTTATTTTTTAAAATTTTAATATAAAATATATCAAAATAAAATTTTATGTTTTAATTTTCGTAAAGTCAAAAAGAGATTAAAAGCAATAATTTAAATAAGAAAAATGCTTAAAATATGCTTTGAATTCAACAAAACCATAGCTAGAGGGCACTTTTGTCATATGGGTTTGCTAAAGAAAAAACAACAAAAGCTTAAAGAGAAGATATGGAAATTAAAAAATGGCAACGCAATTACCAATAAAAGGATTTGTACTTGTAAGAAAAAAGAAAATAACCGCGTTTGGGAATGCTGACGCAATATACACGTCATCAGACTTTCCAGCTCATCCCTCGCCCACTTCTTCCCCGACAAGCCAACACCGTCAACAACTAGTTATTAAGTTTCCAATATTTCAATTTACCTTTTTATTTATTTTCTCGCATTTGCAAGAGAGAGAGTTTATAGGAACGTTAGCGTAATACTCTCGTTCTGTCTTTAAACAGTTTAATTTTTTATTTTTATTTTAAATTTTTAATATAAAAAATAAAAAAAAAATTAATGAAGGAGTTATCCTTATCCCACGCCAAATGTGAGATAACTAGCTTTGTTTTCGTGTGGTATATATCTCTCCATGTTATCACTGTCCTGGTTCCAAACGTACAGCCTGATTTCTACGGAACAAAATTCCAAAACAAATACCTTTCATTGTCAATTATTCAATTAAAACACCCCCAATAATAAAAAAAATAAGAAAGCAAAAAGAAAGAAATTTCTCACAAGTTTTCTCTGCTACTAGAAGAAAATAAAAAAGAAAGAAAGAAAATATATATGCTATTTCTTTTCTTTTCTTTTCGTGAAACCACATTCTGCCACGATGCACGGCCCTCTCCTTTCCTTCCGGTCCCCCAATCGCGGCCGAAACTCGATGGTCAGAGGAGCCAACAAATGAATTACACGTGTATTCTTGTCTCTTTTGACAATCCTACGTGTTTGATCCAACGGCTTGCTTTTCTTGATTAGTCTTCTTTCCCAAGCACAATGCACTTTTTACGCGGTTTTAGTATATTCCCTCACACCCCCTCCACCCCTCTAGTAGGGTTGCTTCCGATACACGCCCTCTTCCCATCCTTTTGTTTTCTTGGAAGAAATTTCTCGTCATTTTGTGGCCTAATTATTTTATTTTTAAATTCTCATAAAGTCTTCCGATTATGTTTACAAGACTATGGCCCGTGCAGTGTCCATGAGCCTCTTGGTACCTCTCTTTTTGCTTCAATATAGGTTTTTTTCCATGCTTTGTAAGTGGTAAAATGAAGAAGTATTTTTGAAATTTCCTTTTAAATATGTAATAATTTATATAATTAATTTTTATTTTTAATTATACTTCTTTAAGCTCTTATCCTATATATACAAATCTTAACTCTAACAAGACATAAATAACCATCACACCTAATAACGATTAGTATTTTTTGTCCATATAATATGACATGCCAATTGATGTAATTACATAATAATTTATGTAGAATAAATCCCCTAATCATATCATCAATTCATACTATATATTATGTGAAAAAAAAAACACTATTGATTGATATTAAATTTGACAATTTTAATTTTTTATTAAAAATTAAAAAATAAAAATGTTTTAAATATGATACAAAAATAAAAACTTAATTTAAAAAAATTAAATTATTCATAAATAAATTCATACATTTTGATTTGTATCCACATAAAATTTTAATTTTAATAATAAATTAATCATCATCTAAGTTAATGTCAATTAATATCCATTGTCCTATC